CACAGCAGAGGCTTTAGTTTAGTTATTATTTTCTGTGTATAAAAGCTGTTAGCTTAACTACAATTCAAAAAATGTTTTGCTTATTTCATAATAAAATGTACAACTGTGTTAGCGGGGGGAAGTGGGGGGGGGGGAGAAGAAATTGACATGTACACATGTACAGTAACTGGAAAGAAGAAGCATGTATTTTAAATGTCGATCTTTATTATATTCAGCATAAGAGTAATACAGGTACGATAAGATAGACAATTTGCAATTATATTATATCTGAGTTAACACAGAACGACAATGGTCATGTTAAGAAATGATACGGCATAAAAATAGCATAGGAGTCATGTAAATGGTAGATGGCACAGACAGTGGCGTACACACAACCCATGAGGCCCCGGTGCGAAAAGTAATCCGTGCCCCCCCCCCCGCCGCTTACTCTGTGCGGGCTGGGGCCGCAACACATGGCGGCGGGCACCTGGTCGCAGGGCTGCGACCCCTGCGACCGCGATATGTACGCCAGTGCATGCAGATACACATACACTTAAAGGACCACTACAGACACCCAGATCACATCAGCTCAATGAAGTGGTCTGGGTGCCAGGTCCCTCTAGTTTTAATCCTGCAGCTGAAAACATAGCAGTTTCGGAGAAACTGCTATGTTTCACTGAGGGTTAATTCAGCCTCTAGTGGCTGTCTCATTGACAGTCGCTAGAGGAGCTTCCGTGATTCTCACTGTGAAAATCACAGTGAGAAGATGCTGAACGTCTATAGGAAAGCATTGAGTAATGCTTTCCTATGGGCGGTTTGAATGCGCGCGCGGCTCTTGCCACACATGCCCATTCGGAACTGAGAGGTGGATCGGGGCGGAGAGATCCCCAGCACAAAAGGAGTCCGGCACTGGAGAAAGGTAAGTGCTTAAGACACACACACTCTCACGAACAGACGCATACACACTAGCTGACAGACACACACATTTACTGACAGACAAACACTCAGTGACAGACATACATACACACTCACTCACTTACAAAACACACACTCATTAACAAATGCACACAAACTAACACACTCAGTAACAGACACACACAGTAACACACTCTAACACTCTAACACTAACACACACACACACTTATACTAACACACACACTAACACACACACACACACTCTAACAGACACACTAACACACACACACTCTAACACACACACACACACACACCCTAACACACACACACACTCACACACACACTCTAACACACACACTCTAACACACACACTCACACACTCTAACACACACACACACTCTAACACACACACACACTCTAACACACACACACACACTCTAACACACACACACACACACTCACACACTCTAACACACACACTCTAACACACACACTCATGTTTTAAAAAAAATGTTTTATCCCCCCAGCCTCCTTACCTTAGGGAAAGCTGAGGGGATTCCCTGGGGTCCAGTGGTGTTGCTGGCCCTGGTGTTACCTGGCGGGCATGCTGGCGGGCGCGTGAGGGAGCACTCTCCCTGGCTGAGTGCTTCCTGTTCAGCTCCCTCATGCGCTGCGTACTGATGCCGGAGCCGGAAGATGACGTCAACTTCCGGCTCCGGCATCAGTGCGGTGCACGAGGGAGCTGAAGAGGGAGCACATAGGGAGGGAGTGGCACTGTGGCCAGCCTGCCTGCCGGGTGACACCAGGGCCAGCCTCGGGGGGGCACAGATAGACAATCAGCATTACGATTTGTCTGAAATTAGTACCATCCAGCTGTGCCCAGATGTTGATGCAGAGCAAGTCAAAGGTATCTAGAAAGTCCATATGTGGTTCTGCTGACTTTCTACACTTAGTGATCTCTGCCATTTTATGCTCTGCAGCTACAGAGAGGGAATTTAGTACCTCGCGCGCCTGCCAGACTGCCTGCCAGGTGACACCAAGGCCAGCCTCAGGGGGCCCTGAAGTGGCCAGCTCCTGGGCCTCCCAGGAGAAGAGGCTGACCACAGTGGCATACATACCGGGTCGCAGGGCAGTGATCTCTGCCATTTTATGCTCTGCAGCTACAGTGAGGGAATTTAGTATTTTATCCCCTGCTGATTTTGAATGTTTGCCCACTGAAAAGAAATGATCAGTCTATAATTTTAATGGTAGGTGTATTTTAACAGTGAGAGACAGAATAACAAAAAACTAAAAATCAAGAAAACTCATGTAAAAAAAATATGAATTGATTTGTATGTCAATTAGTGAAATAAGTATTTGACCCCTTCGACTTAGTAGTTGGTGGCAAAACCGTTTTTGGCAATCACAGGGGTCAGACGTTTCTTGTAGTTGGCCACCAGGTTTGCACACATCTCAGGAGGGATTTTGTCCCACTCCTCTTTGCAGATTCTCTCCAAGTTAAAGGGCCACTATAGTCATCAGAACCACTACAGCTTAATGAATTTGTTCTGGTGAGTAGAATTATTACCTCAGGCTTTTTGCTGTGAACACTGTCTTTTCAGAGAAAATGCAGTGTTTACATTACAGCCTAGTGATAACTTCACTGGCCACTCCTCAGATGGCTGTTAGAGATCCTTCCTGGGTCATGGCTGCCTAAAATGCATCCAAACATTCAGTGTCTCCTCCCTCTGCATGCAGACACTGAACTTTCCTCATAGAGATTCATTGATTCAATTCATCTCTATGGGGAGATGCTGATTGGCCAGGGCTGTGTTTGACTCATGCTGGCTCTGCCCCTGATCTGCCTCTTTGTCAGTCTCATCCAATCCTATGGGTAAGCATTGTGATTGGATCAGGCCACCACTTCTGATGATGTCAGAGGTCAGAGGAAGTTCACAGGCAGAGGCAGCAGCTTCAGACCTGAATACAAGTAAGATTGTACTATATTTAGGGAGGCAAAGGGGGCCAAGGGGGCTAGATAGTGTTTTTAACACTATAGGGTCAGGAATACATGTTTGTGTTCCTGACCCTATAGTGCTCCTTTAAGGTTTCGAGGCTGACGTTTGGCAACTTGAACTTTAAGCTCCCTCCACAGATTTTCTATGGGATTAAGGTCTGGAGACTGGCTACACCACTCCAGGACCTTAATGTGCTTCTTCTTGAGCCACTCCTTTATTGCCTTGGCTATGTGTTTTTGGTCATTTTCATGCTGGAATACCCAGCCAAGACCGATTTTCAATACCTTGGCTGAGGCAAGGAAGATCTCACCCAAGATTTGACGGTACATGGCCCCGTCCATCATCCCTTTAATGCGGTGCAGTTGTCCTTTCCCCTTAGCAGAAATACACCACCAAAGCTAATGTTTCCATGTCAGTGTGGTAAATTAAAGACACCTAGGAGATTACGTGTCATTAACCACTTAAGGATCCTGGGATCCAATATCACTAAGCACTTTAAGCGAAAAGGGGCAGATTATTGAAATGTTGTATACCACATAGTGGTATAAACAGATAAACTCATATAATATATACAAAAATGGAAATAAAAATACAAATGATAATGAATAAAAAAACATAGCCAGACAAAAGTGGTGTGAATACAAAAAAGCACACACATAATTCAGCACATGAACATGTGTATCTCAAAGCAATAAACTCATACTCATAAACAAAAACATTCATGCATAAAAATGCAAACACGCAGTAATCCAAAAGCCTAAAATCATTCTCTTTGATATTCAGAATCCACTGAGCACACAGTATGGGATCATGCATTAGCGAATTATCACACGAAATTAACCAACCTCAAAATCTTCATGTAGGGTGTCATATGAGACAAAATGAAAACCATTTAAAAAAAACCAAAAAACTGTACACAAGGAAAAAATGCTTTTAGCACACATTGACAATCAAAGGCACTGCTCTTCAATTATATACATCACTTGTCCAAAGAAGCCAAATGGATAGATTTAGACAAAATTTAAATGTATACAGTCTGCAAGACAACAAAGTATCACCTTCCATTTAGCAAAAGACTGTTATACAGCTTGCCAGGACCACCATGAGGAAACAATGCTATCTCTAAATAGACTCATGAAAACATGGTACTGGATCAATTTAAAAGGGAACCCCACTAATCCTACTCTGAAAGTAACATAATAATAAAAAATAAACAAACAAGGGGGTCCTTAATAAGATAATGAAACGTCCCTCACCACCTGCAATCACCACTTTGCGTTAGCAGATATCTGTTAGGTCCCACTGGGACACCTGATAGGCCAGAGCCTGTTTGGCTCTGACAGCCTTGAGTGTCATGCAAAGGCACGTGAAACACCATGTACAGCACACGTGCCATAGATTGCTGGCACCTGGCCTAGAAAATGTATTTGGAAGACCTGTTTTGAGCTCTTTAAAAAGTGTTTCAGTTAAAAAAGGCAGGTCTAAAAAGAATATAGTGAATATAATTATCTCAATGATCAAATAAATTATTGGGGTGTAATTAACTTTGTAACAGTAGTTTTCAACCCATGTGCTGGGGATAAAGACTGATTATCCAATCTATTTTAGAAGTTTCTTATTGGTTCTAACAGGACACCATATTTATCAACCCCCAGTCAAATGTTCCCAATACACTTACTGCCATCTCAAGAGCATTGGAGACCCTATCAACTGTGTGTAAATGACCTAATAATGGTTTCTTTAATATAATTTATTTTATGATATTCAAACCAAGAATGGGTCACTTAGGACATTTTTACAACTAAGCTGATTCCATTTAGAACATTTTATCTCTCATACCAAAATATGGACCACTGTTACATAACCATTTCCTGTATTTTACATCTCAGAGGAACAGATTTAAAAAAATAAAAATAATAATAAATTGGCAGACAGGTTAAATGTCATAATATTAGCACAAAAATATAAAAAACTGTCATGCCACAACCTTGTATAGCTACAGCAACTGTAACAAAGCCATTAAAGTAAAAGTACTGCAGACGAATCTAGATACAAGTTAACAAGCAACGTGAAGGTAGAAAGAATTGTCTGATAGAGCACAGAACTAGGCGTGTTTACAGCCCATGATCCTCCAATCACAGGAAGCCTTACATTCCAGGTTTTAGAACCCTTGTAAAGGTCTAGATGTTATACACACAGCCATTGGTGCTCCAAGCAGCTCTGTGCAAGGATCTGACGAGCTCCCAGGTGACGCAGGCTGGAGAATTGATTCTTGATCTCCCACTCCTTTGCCTTCAGCAGGCAGCTGGATACAAATAGCACACACACACACCATCTGATGATGGTATCTGGGGCTGAACAATAGGAAGACCAGACACAACTAAGCAGATAACTGCAGCCCTTTATACAGAGCTTATTGCAGGTTCAGCACTAAACTCCTGGACAGCTCCTCACCAGCCTCAGAGAATAGCCCTCTGCCCATCATCATCTTTATCAATTGCAGGAGGCTCTCTGCTAGTCCATCTTTTACATTTTGCATCTGTATCAGGACAAGCCAAGGCTCCCCTGATCTGTGACAAGAGCTGGACCAGGGAATCCCTTTCTTTCTGAGCAATTTCAGAATCACACAAACAAGGTTGATCAGGGACAGACAGCGCTGTGACAAATGGGTCTTAAACAGCAGTTTACCATCTTGCTTGCTACCTTTGGGCTTGTGTGTCAAACGCATGGCTTTCCAAACCCCAGCATTAACCAAGGTAAGGCAATGATTTTCCATGACTAATGGCAATATTTGCAGTGTTTTGCTCAGGAAAGGTTTAATAGATAATTATATGTTTGCATGAACTGTGAAAGCTTCAAACTGTTATAATATAATAATAATAATAATTATATCGTCTATATAATATATAATAATAAAAATTATATTTAAAATTATATATTATTTCTTATCACATTAGATCAGGTTAAGTAAATGTTTTCAGTATTAGCTGCATAGTATTTAAAATAGATTTTTTTTTTTAAATAATGGTTGGTATACATATTGAATTTAAAGAGATATGAACGTTGAGAGGTGGATATTGTGGTTTGTGCTGGGTATTTATAGTCTAGAAGATGTTCCTTTTAATCTCCTTATTAACGAAATCCGATTACGCCTTTTATGTCCGGCTCGCATCCCTTCTTCATCTGTCTCAGAAAGTCAACATTTTGTCAATAAAAAAATAAGATGTTGATATAATTAACAAATAATACATTTCACTTAGTTAAGGAATAACTGTAAGCTTAAGTTGTCCTGGATGTTTTGTAATGAATAATGTTGTAATTTTTTTTATTTATTCTAGATAAAGCTGTGCACAATAGGGAATTGAGTGTAGAAAGACCTTTGGAAGAACAGGTAAGTTGTAAACAATAATTTTTGGGTTGTTTTTATTTTTTTATTTATATTGCATATCTTAGTAATAAATTAATTTAAGAATGATGACAGTGGGATAGATCACTTTAATATTGTCTGTAAATAGAACATGTTTTCAACATAAACAGGAAATAATCATTATCTAATGATGGTGAGAAAAAAACACCAAAACAAAAGTCATTATATTTAGTATAAATACATCAATGAATGTACAGCTCTACGGAATTTGTTGGCGCTTTATAAATAATAATAATAATATAGGGAATGAAAACTGATTTTACTCATTTACCTGCTACATCAACACTAAAATAAACAAATAGTGAAGCAACATAAGAAGTGTATTGACAAAAATATTAATGGATATTTAAAAAGTCAGCATTGAACCCAACATGCAAATTTGATTAAATTAATTTTCAATAATTTTGCATTAATTATTTCAAGTGTATGATGACATATAGGCATTATTCTAACCCACTGGTCCTTTTTATGTGATTATACTGGGCATCAAACCTGCAGGCTAGATGTTTGAACAGACACTGGCAATACTTTAGTTTAAGCACAGACCACAGATCTATTATGCCATCTAAATGCAACATTTTTCATATTTATTTTTTTACTAAAATATATATTTCATATAACATCTTTATCATCATTTTGTCTTTTGGTGTACATTTAAAAGAATGAATGGTTTAAAAAAAATATATTATCAATTCTACAAAACCTAAAAATTGGAATACTGTACAGTTACAGTAGTCAGTATTTTTTTTAATACTGCAGAAATATTGGAGGTGAAAATAGAGACTGTTTGGTTAAAACCAGGAATCTGTGTTTTAAATGGCCTTGCACACTGCTTCTTTACAATGTGCATTGAGTACGTTCCTCTTACCCAGGCTGCTATTTTGTGCAGACCTTTATTTTTTATATATGCAGTCCCCAGTACAGTGTAAGAGGAAAATGTTGTCTCTCAGCTGGTTGACTAACTGCATTAGAGCAAACATAACGGTAAGGTGGTTTATTATAATATTTCAGATTAACTTTGCTATGCAAAACAAAATAAACAGTGTAGCGAATTGGGCTAGTATTTGGACAGTGGTCCAGTATAAAAGGGAATATATGTGTGTGTAGGTAGTTTATCTAATTTAAATTGAAAAATAAACTAATTGAAATACATGCATGTTTCACCATTTGATTCTACAATAGACAAGAGAAATATTGCTTTAAAGAAAGCTTCACATGCCTCTTGCATTCAGTGTGCTACAGTAGTAAATACTTAGGATACGAGTCATGGAACACATAAGGGCTTATTCACAAAATTATAAATTGCAAATTTAAGGCCAAATTAGAAGAAATGGGCAAATAGCTGAATTAACCAATATTTTGTCAGTTATTTGTGTTAAAATTTTACTTTTGAGTAAAGTAAATCCTTAAATATTTTAAAGTATTGTCCAGGTTTTAATTATATATGTTTATAGGTTCCGTTACAGAATCCAAGTCGTAACATATTGCTTCTTTCCTGTGTTTCCCCACTAGATAGCAGAGGCGGACACTGTGAGCAAAGAACCCAGCAAAGGTAAGATTGATGACTATACAGGGAGCAGTGCTCTTGAAAAAAAACAAGCAGACGTAACAATACCTGCATTTTTATTGTTCATTTACCCACTTTGCAGAAAACAGAGAGAACTTGCAAAATGATTCCTTTGTGGATGATTTAAACTCTCTATTGTCCGAAGCAGCAAAAGACAAAAATGTAAAAAGAAGCATTTTTACAAAGAATTTGGCCGGTGATCATAAAACATCTCCGGAAGACGCAGATTCGACAAAGAACCTGAAACCAGTGGAGTATTTTGATACCACAAAAAGTGGATTGGATTATAAATTTGAAGGTATGTGATTAATGACAGATGCCAGGTCTTAGCCGTGTCAACCTAGTATGCCAAATAAACATAGTATAGAAATAAATTATGTATAAGGGCACTTTGACCTAGATTGTGTCAATGTATGTTTGTCATTACTGACGTGAGTCCAGTTTCATTTATCTAGGAACAACGCAATGCATCAGCACATCTTATATATTCAATAGGAGCCAATCTTGTGGCCTTACATTTTGCTGCTATTTGTAGCGTACTCATAGCTGCCCAGTTATTTGCTGAATCCTTTAATTACCTTAAACATCAGATTTTCCCATTGCATTTTCATCAAATGGACGACCCATGGCAGCGTGCCCAGACTTTGTCAAGTAATTACACCAAAATAATATATTCACTGGATTGGATATGGTGTTTAGCATTAGTTTGACACTTCTGGATTATAATGTATAGTCTGAAGAAAGTCAAAACCCAATCATTTGTTTAAGTGAGGCCCAATGCAGTAAGCATAATACATTTTTCACCATGCTATATCTACCTACTTAAGCACAATTGTGTACATGTTGCAGGAAGTTGTGGTTTTAGAAGGGGAAATTAATAAAGTGTGTACACTGATTCTGAGTGTACCATTATTATTTAGGATAGACTGAATAATTCATTAGCATAGTTGGATATTTTTTCAGTTATCAGTGAGTCGGGGTATCTGATAGTCAAGCTGATAATCTAGCTGAAAAATCTGATGTAAAAATCTCCTAGTTGATAAAAGGAGCAAGGTTGAATGAAGAGATTTAGAAAGAGATAGGAAAGAAAATCTGTGTTGCTATTGTTTGCTTTTCGTCCAATCAGAATACAGTATTGACTGTAGGTACCACAAAATGTACATGTGAGAATTACAGACAATACTGTGTCTGCTTTGAAACGCACACTATCTGGTACAAAAAAAAACCATTACAAATAGGCAAAATATGTAACCTTTTCTAAAAAATATTCAAACGTCTCTAATAGTTACATTTTCTATTAAACTGTTTATTGAATGTCTTTGTAACAGGGAACTGTCTCTTCCCTGAAATTTACACCATATTCCCTTAAATGTATATAAACAATTTAGTAAATAACATCATAATCCAGTTCAGACAAGACAAAGCCAGGGCAAACAGAGCAAATAAAAAAAACAAATAAAAAAAATATTGTTTAATTTCTCCCCTACTATGCATGCTTTCTCTATGCTGACTGTAAGGTGGAAAGGACAGAACTTAAAACAATGATTTACAATGAGCTATGATGGAGGCACCCAGTTGCAGGATAAAGAGGTGTATATTTCTACATTTAATTTTATTTTTCACACCTCACAAATACATATTTGTAAGATATAGAGATAAGTAAACATAATATTACAAATCATTGGACGTGATAGCTCCCTTTTAAATCGACTCACTACAATATATGTCCTAAGCAAAGTGAGGAAATCCTTATATAGGAAATTCTTCTAGGGTACTGATGTATGAGAGGCTGAAGTAAATAAGTCCAATAGTTAAAACATAACGAGGAAAGTATCTATCATGTATATCAAGGCACAGAATATCATTGAAGTGGATAAACTAATAGGCTTTATTATAATTGCCAAAAATGTATTCGCCGCAAACTATTCCAACTATATAAATAAGGAGTGCAAGCTGATATAGCAGAGGCAGATAGAAAAACTCTCAATTCCAAAAGAGTGGATACAAAAAGGTCTAAAGAGATGAATCTCTAAATAGGTACATTGTGACAAATAATATGCCTTAACTTTCACAGACGTTAATTTTAGAGGGAATGGGGAGAGATCGACTAAGCAGTTACTTAGTATGAGTCTATATGGGGTGGCCCAGGTTAAGACCTAAGTATTATATCGTAAATATGAAGATACTAGTACATCATAGAGTGAAAAAAAACATCCTTCAAACATTGCTCATAAGTAACATGCTCAAACATGGCGGGTAGCATTGAACACCTTCTATAAATGAGCCTAGAGTCTCTAATAAGGATTTACTCTAGAGTATACTGGATCGCTACTATAGTGCTATCTAGTGTCAGCTAAGAAGGCTAGATCTTCATGGATGTCAGTTAGACTAAATTCCCCCCTAGCTATATGTGGTTCTAAGAGTAATATCTAAATACTATTTGCAGCTTCCTCGGCTAGAGATTCTCTGAGCCCTTCAACAGATTATTAGAGAGACTAGTTCTCCCTATAGCTGTGAATGGAAAAAGCTCCAGGCTCCTGCCACTGTATTAACAAGTCCCCACAATCCCATATAGCTCTTCCTCATTATGGATTAAATAAAAATCAAAGTGAAACAAAATGTGGTCAATCAGTGCATAGTGCTATATGAAGAAAAATTCCCGATGCGCGTTTCGGTGCTATAGTGGCACCTTCGTATGTCTTAAGCCTCTAGCCGTATGTCTTCTTTCAATTTATATAAAAGTACATTGACATCCATCAAATATATGCTGAGATGAGGATCAGGGACAGATTAAGAGCACTGTGTGTGTGTGTGTGTAGGGGGGTATTATATAATGGAATATTTGCACACTAAATAAAAATGCTTCTGTTCCTCTTTACCAATTACTGGTTTATTATGTCGATTCATGTTGGCTCCCTTGTCATCTCTGATGGATAGGTGTTTGCTAGCACATGAAAATATTGTCAGCCTTATATTTTCTCACATAGAACATCTAAACACATATGGAGTGGATTTCTGCCAGTCAAGCTGATAATCTAGTTTAAAAAAACCTAGGTAAAAATCTCCTAGTTGGTAAAAGAAGCAAGGTTGATTTTTTTTTTCTCACTCAATTTTAGCTAAATCGATATTGGATTTCAAGTCTTCACAATTCTGAGTTTAGTATATAAGCCCCACACTTTACTATTTGCTTACTCTATAAGTGTTGGGAAAAAATAAGTCGGAAGAGATCGATGCAACACGCCTCTGATCTAAACTGCTTATTCTTTCAGATGATCCTGACGGCCTTCATCAGTTAGATGGGACTCCTTTGACAGCAGAAGATATTGTTCAAAAAATTGCAGCGCGGATATATGAAGAGAATGACAGAGCAGTTTTTGATAAGATCGTTTCCAAACTTCTTAATCTTGGCCTGGTATGTAACATGATATTATCAAGAAGAACAAAAAGGTTTTGCGTATTAATTAGAACTCTTGGAAACTTAAAAAATGTCAGATAGTGGGACAGTCTAATTAATTAATGGTTTGGGAATTAATCTGCCTGTATCTATTACAATGTACTCACTCAGTGACAAACCGTTATCAGGCTATCAACTGCCAAGCAACAGCGTAAGCAAATAAAAATCTTTTATCTGAAGGGTCAACTAAAAGCAGTTGATTCATAGAGTGCAGCCCATATATCCAATGAAACACATTTTAGTAAAAGTCCTGATGAGGTGTAAAATTCCCTATGATAGAGAAGATCATTATTACTAATATGAATCACTATTAGACTAAGATCAAAATGCTGTAGAAAAATGGCAAACTCTATTGTACTCTGTCACTGCTATTATGAAAATGCTGTTAAAACAAATTATAATGACAGATAAACAAATCCACATACATTAATTTAATAAACCCAATCTAAAAAGATGACTAGTAAATGTTATATGACAAGGCAAACAAGAAAATGTACTGGTATCTAGAGTTGTGGAGTTGCATGTACCAGACAAACAAAGCACTTTAGGAGTGGTTGAGGAGAGAGGCAGTTAAGAATGGGGGATATTTGGCACCTGTGAACTTAAAAAAATCTAAAAAAATGTGTTGTCCATTCCAGCCAAGAAGAACAGATTTTGTGATACCCGTTTCCCAAAAGAGGGTATATAGCTACATACAATAAAAAGATTGTGGTGAGACAAACATGATAAAAATCCCCACAGTGCAAATAGAAAAATTACTGTAATGCATCACCTGAACTTTAAACATTGAGAAGTCCTTCTTGGGCACTGCAGCTCAAGAAATCATGGTTCCACAACTATCCCATGGTTCTCAGCTTGACATGGAAATGAGCACAGACAGTCATCGTGTTTCAAACGTAATATTGCATTCAACAAATATCCTTAGCAATGCATGCTGTTTTAAACACATTAAAAAAAAAAAAACAGGGACTGCCATTTTGGTCTTGTTGGTCTCATCAGCATGGCACAAGTTCTTTTCTGGAAGGTATCACTTTCTATTCTGGAAGGACTTAGTTGCACTTAATAAGTATAATTAGGGAGTTCTTAGATTTAGGGAGAGGGCCTGTCAAGTGTTGGAGCAATACAGGGGATGTGTAGAGCTGTTCTTGTGACTAGTAATTTTACCCAAATAGTCTACTCATAGTGAGCAGGAAAATTTCCAATAAAACCACATTTTTTTCTCCTGTAAATCTCTAAACCATTTATCTTTGTTTATTGTCATGTGGTTTTGACGCAGTGAGACTTTGCGAAATTACCTTTTTAAACTGTAGGCGAGGCGAGCACTGGTACGGGTGTGTCTTGAAAATGAAAGTGAAATGCCATATCGTTTTTCAGGATTACATGCCGACAGTTTATGTTACAGTCAATGCACGATTGTGGTGAGAAGAGGAAAGGAAGCCAATCCACAGGCTTGTCTCAGGGGGATCTAGAGATAGTAACGGAAGAAATTAGACGCCACTAGCTCTAATAAATCAATTCAACCAAGTGGGAGTATGAAAGATAAAGGCAGCACTGATTGTAACATACAAAATGTAAGCCGAACTAATGTCTCACAACTGGATAACAAACTGGAAGCACTGTAATTGTGACTCATTCTAGGAGTCCTTTCTGTACTGTCAGGATAGCAATAGCAAAACACATCAGAAAAATACATTATATTGGTAATAAGCCACTGGTAATATGTTACTATAGTTTAAAATGCACCATATTTGCAACTCAAGTGTCGGAGACAGGAGATCATTTTTAAGATATACTATCTCAGAAAAAAATATAGTTTCCCTTAGACTTAGATATATTGTTAGTATTAGCAGCACTGATTTTCATCTGCTGGCGAGCAGAGATATAAGGCTTTGATATGTAACTTGCTGCTACACTACAATCCTAATATTTTCTCCATGCTTCGAGAGAGGTACAGTAGAGAAAATGAATAGAACCTGTCAGAGATGCCACCTTTACATGAAATTAACACCGAATAATATAAATACTACGCAATATTATTGTTAATATATTTTACCAGGAAATATACATTTTATATATTTTTTTTATTTTCAAGTCACCTAAATGCCGTCATGTCACACTATCCAAGTCAGTACAAGTTGGACATGGTTAAAGAACTCCTAACCAATTTGTTGTTTTGTTTTTTTCTTTAATGAGGTATTTAAATAATAGTCTAATTTATTGGAAATTAAGAGTGACCAATATTTTCCTCAGGAATGTCCTTTCTAATGTGTTTTCCATTTGAAGGTTAAAATGTAGATTAACTAAACAAGGCTGTTATCTACTGATATCTGGTTTGGAGTAACCTGCGAGACTCCCATAGTCCCCTCATCACTATGCATGTGTTGGACAGGAGGCAGCTGCATGGCTTTTGATGGGTGCCTACTGATGTTTGTAATGGTTATATATTGCTTTATTTCCAACAATTTGCTTACAACACGGACTGTCTCTTACATGCTAGCTGACTTTTCAGGTCAGCTGTGAGTAAGCAATACTCAGTATACAGTGAGCATCAAGACGAATTTAAAGATTGGTTGGATATGGCTTCAAAAAACATCAAATACTTGAATTAATATAATGTTACTTCATGAAGGTATAGGTTGCCATGGCAGTCAAGGCAATAGTCACCTGAATAAAGTAAACTTGTATCAACTTCAGCCACCTGAAATCAATGTGATACAATGCAAATACTTGTGACACCTACAGGTACCACGAATGTGTCGATACTGCAAACCCTACTTTAGGTACTTGAACAAATCTAGTTTAATTGTCCCCCATAACCAAAAGAAATGTTGTTATATATTTTTTATATTTCATGTTGGGAATGTAGTAGACTTGTCAGATAACCAACACAGATACATTTTCATGTTTTGCTTAAAAAAATTGTTAGTTTTTTTACCTGTTAGCCACATGTTATTCATAGGATGATAGTGACAAATACCATGATAGAGATATGGAAATGATAATGAGAGAATGCAGATAACCCTAACATGAAAGAGTTAGGATAGCAATGAGAAAGGAATGAACTGAGAAAGGAAATATAAACGTCTTTCCGGGCCTTAGAGTGGCCGGACTTAACTTTAGACAGAGACAATCGGTGATCAAAATACAAGCCGAGGTCTGGGTAACGGAGAGACGGCGAAAACGAGAATTAGCTAAAGTCGGGTACATGGTAATAATGAGATGGGCAAACAAGACAGGCCAGGGTTAAAGAGAAACTCAGAGTCAGGAAACAAAGCCAAGGTCAATACCAGAATACACTACAATAACTCAAGGAACGCACTAAAGGGAACTGGTAACAGAAACCACAAGAGGGCGCAACATCTACTGCCAGGTAAATTTAAATAATCCTGTGTTTTATTCGATTGGTCCACATTATGCCGGCACCCCAAAATGTGCTTGAATGGGGGTGCCGCAACGATGTGCGCCAATGGGAGCCGTACTCACAATGCAGGCACCGATCTTAATGCTATTCAGGCCGCGCACCCGATAAGACCGTAGTGGCCAAGAGCCAGTAGTGTGTGAAGCGGCTTGCCTGGAGGCCAGAGTGACCACGACCGGCACGAGGACCGGGTAAGTACTGCTACAATTTGGCCACTACAAACTTAAGTAGTACCTCCTATGTCATAAGTATTTTGCTTACAGCTAATACATGACTCTTGTATTGAAGGTGTAAAGCTTAGGGATTGGCTTGGGTTGATATATAGCACCTAAAGATTTTGTAAATGTTTTTGGTTTTCACATGTTGATTTTCACACAGTGCCTATGATTTGATCAATTATGTACACTATAAAGTGATTAAATGAACTAATAAAGGTAATCTTATTTGAGGAGTGAACCTTTGTGTGTGTGGTTTACCTCGCCTTGTTTAACGTTTAATATAACGGGAGAATTGCATATTTTCCAGTAGGTTCTACCGTCGTTTGCATGAGGGTTCTGTACTGGACAGATTGTGTGGTCAGATTGATTCGGCTATTGGCAATATTCCGAGTGAAAACAACATTGGCTTAGATGGACAGAATGATGTCATGAACTAACTATAGTTTAATGAGCACAATCTACTCTTACAGATTACTCAAAGCCAGGCCTACACATTAGAAGATGAAGTGGCTGAAGTATTACAGCAACTAATTGCTAATGAGGCTAAAAATCATGAAAAGGTATCAGAAAATCTGAATTATCCAGAAGTCAGAGGAGACGTCGATGCAGATGAAAAACAGGAGGGTATAACGGTAATTTCCTTTAAACAATCTCAGATGATAAATGCAGAGCACTGTGCAGCCATAGCCTGGAGTAATAATTATTTTACTGCAGAATGCTATACGAGATGTTTAATATAATAGTATGTGATAGAGGCCAGAAATTCAATTAAATGCTAGCAATAAATGTAGACATTTGCTCTAATCATAACCCATCTTGTCGGCCTATTTCGCAGAGCTACATTTTGTGCTATCAGGACATTTGCTCTGCACTTATTTTTTTTATAATTCACTTTTTATTAGGACACTAGCCTAGTCATTAGATATGCTCTGAAAAATATAGCTATCTGTAAAAAACATCCGAACACCGCAATAACAGCAAATGAACAGAGAAGGGAATCAATAGGTCTGGTTTAGTTATTAACCCCATTACCACCAACATCATACACATTAAACTTGCACATTCCGTTTGAAACAAATTGTCATTTGACCACATTTTGGGCAATCTATGTTTTTTCTCCAAAATAGCTGAATTGTAAAAATTCTCCAAGTCATCTATGATTCCAAATCAGCTGTTTTGGCCTCAAATGTGAAATTAAATTTGAATTCAGTTTAAATTCCGAAATTAGAGTAACCATTTCCCATTTTAAAGGATCTTGCATGGATCAATGCCTTCTGACACTGACGAGGAAGAATGAGGTAGGTTTGTTCTAGGAGCATATGTGTAGGCAGTGATAGCTGTATGCTGTTTTTTTGATATACAGATATCTGATTTACTATTTTTACATCGTATTCGTCATCGTATTTACAATTTGCTGGGTTTTTGTAACAGCTGACTACAAATGCGGGACATTCAATAATTTTAATTTAATTGGCATCTTATTAGACCTGGATAAAGGTTAGCTATTTAATAAAGAAAGTGGTAAAACATATATCTGGCCTTTTTTATATGTTCATGATATCACATTTAATACAGAAAGCACAAGACGAGGATGCAGAACTGCGAAAAGGAGATAATGATGAAGAAGAGAGATACTTGACACCTTCTACTACCTTAGAAAGAAGAAACGAGTTATCAGCAGAGGACAATTTCGATGATCTCCAATACTTCCCAAACTTTTATCGACTTATTAAAAGTTTGAACTCAGGTATATTAACATTTCTTTTCAAATTCAAATATGTGAATAAATACATTTAATTTTCATATAGCCTTATACAGTGTTGTGTGAAATTATGCATCATGTAGAGAGGTTACACACACAATCTTTAGTTTATTCTGGTTACGATACATATATATTTTTTTTAATTAATTTTTTTTTGTCCCCTACCATTGAATTTTTTTTTCTAGTTAATTTTTTTAATGATAACATTAGTAGCGCTCATTGAGAACCAGCAGTTCAGCTCATTTGTATAACTCAGCAAGAAGACTGAGCCAAGCATAAAAAATTCCTATATTTCTAATCACATTTTATTCTTGTAGTAAGTGAGAAACCAGACTACAGCAAGATTAGTCTTTTCCTGTAGTGAATCCGGCCTGACACATATCTATTTTCTTGCACTACCAGACAATTTTTAGTACAATTCAGTACTACCTTCCATGCAAATATAGGGCAAAACTAAAACTAAATAAAACGAAAATAGGAAGAGCAAATAGCAAGGGAGCATATTGTGTTTGCTGACTTATATGGTTTATATGACATAAAAGACTGCAGAGCTGTCAGATGAGGTGTGTACAGTACAGGTCTCATTTACGAGGTTTTAGATTTTTAAAATGTATATATTTACATTGATTAGGATTATTTCCTTTCAATCAATAACCATTTATATGAAAGAACTGTTAGAATGAGTAGATTGTATAACAAGTAGTCTCGGGAACTGCAGACAGAAGGACACTTAGCAATATACATGTAAGTAGACTGTTTTTAAAAACAAATAATGAATAATAGACAACGACACACAATCAGGTAACAAAACAAAATGGTTGGACATGTTGAAGCTGTACTTGTTCCTACAGGTTGACTATTTTTTTATTTGCCTTATTTGACAGAAAATGACGCCAAAGAGAAAGAAACATTGATAACGATAATGAAAACGCTTATCGACTTTGTGAAAATGATGGTGAAATATGGAACAATCACACCACAAGAAGGAGTCAACTATTTGGGTAAGAATTTTTTTTTTTTTTTAAAACTGACATGTTAACTGACATGTTAACGAAACTCACAGAGTATGATTGAGTTGCTAAGTGAGTGTTAATATATCCAGGGGCCACGCGGTCTGCAATATGATCATGTTGTATAACGATTGGTTGAAAACATCAACGTCTCAAATGGTGCACGTCTTTGTTCATGTTGCAACAGAATTTTTCCCTCAAAGGTTGCCAAACAGCTGCCCTCCTCCAGATAGTTTGAACTGCAACTCCCATAATTCTGAGCCAGTCATTGGTTGGTGGAGCATTTTTGGTAGCTTTAGTTCCGCAAATCTGTAATTTGACACCACTACAATAAGGGGCATCCTTTATGCTCACATAAGTTAGCATCTTCATTTCTTTAGTACTCTTTGATTGGCAAGATGCATGTAGCCATGCACAAAATGTCAGTGGTGGGATATTAGAGAATAATGTCTAGTATTACAAAGCATAGGCTCATTCATAGTCATTCTAAACCCATAATCCTCTTCTGTAGGACAGCCAGACTCTTGCTAACCCCGTAAATATGATTTATTAAAAAAAAAAAAAAAAATGTTCTGTGACTAGGAGATACCAACCGCTATGATTAAACTTGTTTTACAAGAAATTAAGCTTGTGTTTTTGTGGTACCAATATTGTAACTCATCAGCTTTTTTTTATGAAAGGAGATGAAATTGATATGTTTATTAGAAACATAATTCGTTCGAGTGCTGGAGGAAGAGTGGTCTCCAGACTTCATAATCTTGTCACAGTGTTAAATATTTTTAATTTTGATCGCCTATAGAACCTAAATAAGTCATACTGCTATGGTCCAGATGACTGTACAATGTTGTTATTGATTTCTTACGTCTGTGAATAGATCAGATAAATGCAATCTGAAACCATGAGAGCAATGCTCACAATTCTACAATGCTTCACAGCAAAGCATTTTATCTGCAATATGGATCTGAATGTCAATAAGAAAACTATTTCAGTTTTTAGCTGCACAGCAATATTTAAATTCTATTCTATAATTCAAGGTCACTGTCGGACTCCTCATCAGTTTCAGATAGAAAATTACAATCTATCCCATGACATGCTTGTCATGCTGGGTGAATGACAGCAAAGATAGTATGTACACATATCTCGTTGGGCTGTTTAACCTTTGTTTCCACATGGAGGATTTAATGATGAATATGCATTTGCACCTAAACAAACTCAGCAAAACAACTGCAAATCAGTTATATAAATATTCAAACTTGATTGGCTGGGGACAATATTACATTAGGAATATCCAAGACAAGGAATGCAATGGAATATGGCACAGTCCATTATAATGCATGGTATGAGGTCCATTAATAGTTCCAAATATGGTGTCATTATTACAGCCAATATGGCTAATAATTCGATGGGATAGATCAGTTAAATAAAAAATATAGATGACAACCCAGAGCTATGCATTTAGCTAGAGGTCTCCAGATTACAGTAGTTACAATGTCACCCTAAAGAGGGTATTTTGTGGCTAGTGGTTAGTTAAGGAGGGATGTGACTGTTAAAGATATATCTTCATTTTAAAAAGGATAGTAACTATTTGTGTTGCTTGAAATTGTGCTCTAAGATTTTAGGGAAAACAGGTTGTTGTTTTTTTATACTGTCTCAGAACGCAATGATTGGTGTAGCCAATGTTACCCTTCTTGCTGCATTATGATTGGCTGATACTAGCTACACCAATCATAGACCTCTAAGAGACAGCCAAGAAATGTTCAATGACTGAGATAGATAACCTCACCAACAGTAGGCTACATCACCCAAATTTTCACTTAAGAGTTGGTCATGGTCTTTTGTTTATTTTTATAGCAAGCTATGTAAACATATACGTGACAGTTGCCAATTCCTCTTCCCAGCTCTGTAACAGGCCTAAACATCAAACATCAAGCTATGAATTTGCCATATACCTATAGCAAATACTGTATGTTGACCGAACCATCCAGTGCTATTTAAAGTAAATATTTCCTTATTAGATTGCCAATCTAAACCAAGCACTTGGCTGATACATATTATAAAGCATCAGATGTAGCTAACGTTGTCTGCCCTGTTGGTTATTACACTTTAATCTCTAAATTGTAGTTCTCCTACAGTGTGTGACATGCTATTAGATTGCTTATTTGATTTTCTCACACACACTGTATATAATATTCTATTAGCATCTATTAAATTAGATGTTCTCATTAAATTATGAGATTTGATGTAATTAATTTGACTATCATTATTGGCGGGTTTTTTTTGTAGTAGTAGTAGTATACATTGGAAGTGCTTTATGGATACAATTGTTGTATTGTGTTCAAGTTGAAATCCATAAGTAAACAACATACCGTATTTAAATGTGTTTGTTAGGTTCTATGTTATCATTACTATATGTACATTGTGATTTTTTTTATATATACTAATTTCGAATGTTTATTATATCTTCGTGATGCTACTTTGGTTTTGTTTTGTTTTATTGCTAGTTTTGTTTTGAGCTGTTTATTAGCTGCAATTCACCTGCCTGAGTCTAAACTGCAAAATCACGTGGTGCAGAACACGTGAGACAAGCTCTTACTAATTCCTGCACTGATGTTGTGCATTCACCCTGTAGCTGCTGTACGCTCCAACGAGGAGAGATCTCCGAGGATGTGCTCTTGTTTTCTACACAATATCCTTTGTTAACAACTTGAAGGAACTTCTCGAGAGGAAAACTTTAATCTTGTGTTATTGGTCCAACTCAAACGCAGCAATTTCATGAACAAAACAGTGTGCAGCACAAACGTCCAGCGTCTCCACACTCTGCATCGAGATGCTGAACTTTCCCCATAGAGATGCATTAATTCAATGCATCTCTATGATGAGATGCTGATTGGCCAAGCCGGCGTTTTGCCCCTGTCCCTGCCTCCTTGACAATCTTACCCAGTCTAATGCTTTTCCTACAGGAGAGCATTGGATTGGCTGAGATAATCAATTCAGATTATGTCAGCCAAGGAGGCGGATCAGGGTGGGGCCAGTGCAGGTGGACCCGCACAAAGCTGGATATAAGGTACGTTTTCTTACCTTCTAAGGAGGGTAACGGGGGTCCAGCAACCTAAATGGTGGTTTTAACACTATAGGTCAGGAATACATGTTTGTGTTCCTGACCCTATAGTGTTCCTTTAATATTGCATGCTTCCTTGTAAGAACTTTGAAATGAAGGAAGAATATGGGGACTAAACTTGGAATGAAGGCAGGAAAATGAGAACACAAGTTGTTATTGTGCTTAGCTATTCCCTTTAAGAATACTAATACATTTGAATAAATAATAACTCTTTACAGGAATCAACACAGTAGAGGGTGATAATAAAGACATTATAGTATGTAATACATAGTGTATCTTAGTCCATCAATCCCTAGTATGGAAGGAAGTGAGATACATGTAGACAGAAGCAGAGGAGGAGGAAGTGCAATCTACCATAGGGGATTAAACATGTGAAATGATTTTTGTTCATTAATGTAGTGCTTCGTTTAAAAGACATATGTTGACAATTACGATGTGGAAACATTAACCTTGTGTCTTTTGGGAAACAAAAGACAGGAATGATGGCATTAAAATAGTTAAGATTATTACAGTAATGGACAGACACTTTGGCCACGTCAGTCTCCATAGTACAGTCTATTTATATTTCTAACTGCTTTCAATGACGTCAAGCTGTTCTTTGGCTAAGTCAACATTACACAGAGAGAAGCAGCAATGGAAACTGCAGTAGCATCGTGACCTTTCCGCTAGATAATGTCACATTAACGGTATCAAGCTCTCCGAAAACTAGGGTTTAATATTATTAGTGCTAAATGTCTACTCCATGTCTTCGTCTCTCATTATATTCACATTTCATCTAGATTATCGCTTGGGACAGTGCACCTCTGTAAGGTCTAAATGACATTAATTCTCTGAAACGCTCTTGGCAAGGTTTAACTTTTACGACGAACAGGTTTACACAGAAGAATAAACTGATTTATAGGATGACTTGGTGACCAAGAATAAAATGTATAAAAATAACACTAGACAGAATCATATTGTAGAGGTAAACCAATTAAACAGATTAGAACCTAAAACATAACCTTTTCATAGAAAAGCAAATGCATCTATTTTAAAAATCCCATAAGTTCACAACCCTGTTCATGTGCTTAGTCTACAAAATGTCTTATAAGTAATATAGTTTTAAAAAAGGTATAAGATAACCTAATTTTATATGTTTTTAGTGAATAGTCAAGATGCATTCTATTATTTAAAGGGACACTATAGTCACCAAAACAAATTTAGCTTATTGAAGCAGTTTTGGTGTAGATCATTTCCCTGCAGTGTCATTGCTCAATTCTCTGCCATTTAGGAGTTGAATCGCTTTATTTATGCACCCTAGTCCCACCTCCCTGCATGTGACTTGCACAGCCTTCCTAAACACTTCCTGTAAAGCATCAACTAATGTTTATACTTCCTTCATTGCAAATTTTATTTAATTTAAAATGCATTATCCCCTGCACTGTTGATAGCTTGCTACACCCCACAGAAGCATTCTGTGTATGACTAAATTTCACTTTAGAGAGCAGGCAATAAGAACTTTTAAAGTAAGTTACATCTAATTGAAAGTGAAACCCTTTTTTTTCATGCATGGTGTGTAGGTCACTGCCAGGGGAGGTGTGACTAGGGCTGCATGGACAGAACCAAAAGGGGTTTAACTCCTAAATTGTAGAGATTTGAGCAATGAGACTGCAGGATCATGATCTATACACCAAAACTGCTTCCTGAAGCTAAAGTTGTGTTGGTGACTATAGTGTCCCTTTAAGGATATTTTTTACAATAAGGAAAATGGCTAATAGTTAAATCAGATCAATTTAGAATGTACCTGTTAAGAACTAACAAAAATTAAGATAAGCAGAGAAACCCTAAAAATTTGGCAACAGCTACAGACTAGATGAAAGTGGAACACAATGTATCACGTCTAAAAATAATTCAAGGAGAAAGGATTATTTAGGACGTAGATATTGCCAAGGTGAACTACAAGAGTAAAAGATTTTCTTTTTGGTATATAAATATTTTATAGAAACGAGGATCATACAGGAACAATGTGGTCACAAGTAAAAAAGAGCAAAACAAAAAAGGTTATTTAAAACAGTTGAGAAACTGAAAGCATCACTGAATTTTTCTAGTTTGGCTATTTTATATACCTTAAATTTGAAATCCACCTTGAATTCTTACATTAGTGAATAATCCTGAAAACGAATAATTCAAAGGAATTACATATACACAAAAGATTGCGGGTTACGGTATAGTCACATGGTATAAAACAGGTTATTTGTAGATCCAAACCCTGACAGTATAGCACGATTCACATTTGTATACAATATATAAAAGCATTAGATAGTATGTAAAAATGTAAAAAGCAAATAATAATAAAAACATATGTGTGTATATATGTATCAGTGGCGGATCCAGGGGGGGGATAGAGGTGCAGCACGATGACAGGGCTTTCCGGTGATCCTGCTTTGCTGCTACTGCACTTCTATCTACAGCCCTTGTACATCGGCAGCACCGCCCCCTCGCGACAGGCTCCACCCCCTGTTTAGGCCCTGCCCCCACCCAGATCCTTACCTCAGCGGCTGCTGGAAGGAACTGTCTGCACAGCAGCACATCTCCCACCGGACCAACAGGGAACAGGATTCCCCCCTCCCTGACCCAAGGTAAACCTCAGGGAGGGGGGAATAAACTATTGTTTTTTTTCAGCCCCCCTATGTGCAGCCCCTATGCCCTAATACACCCCTTACCATCCACTAGAGCTCCTAACACCCCCTTCTAAAGCCCCTTACTCCTTCCTACACCCCTAACCCCCACTACAGCCCCTTACAGCCCTTCTAATGCCCCTTACACCTTACTACACACCTAACCCCCCCATTACAGCCCCTAGCACCCCCTTCTAATGCCCCTACTCCTTACTACAACCCTAACCCCCACTACAGCCCCTTACTCCTAATGCCCCTTACTCACTTAACACCCCTACCCCCTCCTACTACACCCTAACCCCCTACACAGCCCCCCTTCAATGCACCCCCCTCCCCCCACTGTCGCCCTAATGCCCCTTACTCACACACCCCTAACCCCCACTACAGTCCATAACACCCTTCTAATGCCACTCCTTACTATAGCCCTAACCCCCACTACAGCCCTAGCACCCCTTCTAATGCCCCTACCCTTACTACACCCCTAACCCCACTACTAACACCCCTACTAAATCCCCTTACTCCTTACTACACCCCTAAACCCCACTACAGCCCATAACCTCACTTACTAAAGCCCCTTATTAAATCCCTAAACCCCGATTACAGCCCCTAACCCCTACTAAAGTCCCTAACTCCTTACTACAGCCCCTAACCTCCTCTACTAATATTCCTTACTCCTGCCCCTAACCCCTACTTAAGTCCTTACTACAGACCCTAATCTCCCCTACTAACGCCCCTTAGTACAGCCACTAACACTCCCAACTAAAGCCCTTTACTTCAGCCCCTAACACCCCTATTAAAGCTAGCTCCATTTTACTGCAGCCCCCAACTGCAGCCCCTAACCCTCCAATTAAAGTCCCTATGACCTATAGCCCTAAGCCCTCTACTACAGCCCTTTTAACCAAACAGCAGCCCCTATCCCTACTACAGCCCCTTATCCCCACTGCTGCTTTTACCCCCTATGGCAGCCCCTACCCCCATTACAGTCCATACACTCCAAATGTAGCATCTGTCCCCCACTTTAGTCCCTACCCTCCAAATGTAGCTCCTATCCCCCACTACAATCACTAATTCCCTAATGCAGTTCCTACTCCCCCACTACAGTCCCATTCCCCCACTACAGCCCCTAACACCCATACTACAATCCCTAACCCTTCTACCACAGTCCCTTACTCCTCACTGCAGCCCCTATCCCACACTACAGTCTCTACTCTATCTGCAGCCCATATCCCCCCAACCTACAGCCCCATTCATCCCAACTTCAGCCCATACCCCCACACTACAGCCCCATTCATCCTAACTTCAGCCCATATCACCCCATTACAGTCTCTATTCCCTTACTATAGTCGCTACCCCCACTACAGCCTCTTTCACCCAATTGCATCCATTCCCCTCACTACAGCCCCTATCCCCCTACTACAGTCCCTAACCCTCCCACTACAGTCCTTACCCCCCACTACAGCCACTATCCCCCACTACAGCCCCTGCCCCTGTCCCCCTAGCCCCTAATTCCTCAATTACAGCCGCTGTTTCCCCATTACAGCTCCTATCACCCCACTACCAGTGCCCCTCCCAAGATTAGGCTCTGGATCCGCCCCTGATATGTATATGTACAGTAAAAATGTGTTGTTTACCCATATATGTATATGGTTTTGCATCTTTTCCTAAATTGTGTTCCAAGCAGTTGTATACTGCAAACACAGATTAAAAGGAATCAATGTTTAAAATGGAATGAGGCAAAAATGTGATTCTTTGTTAAACTCATTTGCATATGCCCACCCAGAATCCTTTGCAGTTGTAACATCACTGCAGATTTGGGATTTCTGTGGGAAAAGCAAGTCTTATGGCTTGACTGGTGTGCAGATTTTTGTTTAACATTGTATTAACTATCCATAGATATATATATGATAATTAATTACATTTTATGATTTTAAAATAGAAGTCTCTATACTTACTAAATGGAAAGATATGAGTTTGTAAAACGAAAAATAATAAATCAAGATAATCATCAAGTGTCAAATGGCAGAGTCAAATGGCAGAGAATTGAGCAGCGAGCCTGCAGGGGCATGATCTATACACCAAAACTGCTTCATTAAGCTAAAGTTGTTTTGGTATAAATAGTGATTGTACAATATGGTGAATTAGTGAAGTTGTTTTGCTGCCTATTCTCTTTGATATTCATAACTATTATTATTCATAAGTGTCCCCTATATTTAATCACTCACATCACTCTGTAGTTTACTATGGCTTTAACCCAAGAATACACATTCCCTGTACACCGTGACACTGTACAAAATAAAATGTTCACAATTAATGTAATTTTATTTTTGTGTAATGTGCATATTTTGCACCTAGCAATTTAAATGTCTTAATATTTGCCATGTATATCTTTTAATTTCTAAAGAAGTACCAACAGGGAAATAATTAACAGATTTGGGGTTGTTTTTTTATTTTTTTTTATTTTGAAAATAGACAAAGAGGGAAGACGATTTGAAAGAGCAAATACCATTTAGTACGATTCCACAGATAACAGGAAAATATACAAAAGCAGGTTTCTACAATTCGTCATTGTCCATCAAATTAAAAATATCTAAGTAACATAGAATGTCAGGGTGATAAGATCCTGTTAAGCTATTAGGACAAATAGTTGCCTGGAAACCACTCATGCACGCATGCATGGAGCATTGATGACTCATTTCCAGTTTTCCCTCAATGTTCCTCAAAGCAAATATTGTCCACCTGTGCACAGATGGCTGTGATCTTATTATGTATCTATGTGAACGACAAGTGAACTGTTTCAGTAGCTCCAACACGGAAATGTTCTTCAAAATCCAGGCAACCATTATAATATCTAATAGATTGTTTGGTTACTCAGTTATGGGGTCAGTAAAAGAAAATCTTTTGTGTTTGTGGCAAAATAAAAAATAAAAATGCTACATTAATAATACAGGTTTAATAAAATGTAGTTAAACCACCATTAAATAATTTGGAAGTATAGAGCCTATGTGCTTGTTGAAGCTAGGTGCACATGTGAGTTATAAATTTACTTTGCTGTTTATCGTCTTCAAACTGAGGATCTGTAGCACCAGTTTTATATGATTTGTATCACTAACAGGCGGTTAACATTGATAGTGATAGACAAGCAGACAGTGACATCACTGCTATCTTCTCGATTTATTAGAGGTGTAAAAAATTATTTATCATCAGATAAAAGATACATGAAATTGGCATTTACTAGTGTCTGAACCTAATTTATAACTCTCTAAACAAGTCGAAAAACCTGCATAGAAAAACAGAAATAGCAATGGGAATGGCATTTGTTAGATAGCGTAAGTATCTCACTAGTGAAGATAAGACTGGCATATCTCCCTTACTGCTATTACTTTTCACAAGCCAACCGCTACTTGCTGAAGTACCTGTCACTACAAGTAGCGGCTGTTAAAGCAACCCTGTCTTCTTCTGGGGTCTTTGCATATTTTACAAAGACCTCGATGGTGCATTTGTCACTTGCAGTGAGATGGTTGTGGGGCGCAGAGAAAGGTGAGTTTTCCTTACCTGAACCTGTCCCTCCCAGCCACCACCATCTTCTTCATCGCATCCTCTTCAGGATATCACGTTAGTGCTCTCGTCCACAAAATACTCTTGGCATTAATAGAGAAGGCTAATTTTAAGTTGTATATTTGATATTAAATTGCTGAATGCTGTTTGAGAATCTTTTATTGTTGTAATATGTAATGTGATAGCACTATTTATTTCTGTGTATTGCATATTATCAGGATTTGTTCTAAAAATGTTTGTTCATTTTATAAGGCCAAAATCCTTGGCAGTTTATTTGTGGCAATAGATATGATTGTTTTGTACTAAAAAAAAAGCTACACAGCACTTTGTACGTTTGGTATTGTTTGACTAGGCTATCTTTCATGAGACATAATAGGCAGGGATTAACTCATTTTAATACAATATCTAAAAATAAAGACAAATAATACAGGAAATAAAATACCATTAAAGTCATTTCTGTGTAGGAATAACATTTTGATGTATGGGTCCTTTTCTTACCCCATCAACCATTTGTCCAGAAAAGGTTTAATATTTTTGTATAAGCTTTTAAAATGAATTACTATTTAGAGAAATATGTAAAAAAAATTTATATATAAACTTAAGCTAAAAAATATTAAATCATTGAAAAGCTTATCCATAAATACTAAATCGAGACCTTAGAGGTTACCCCTATTCAAGTTTATCTTATTCCTTAACTATAGGAAAAATACATAACTTGAAATTGGAGAGGGAGGAATTTATATCATAAAACATGATTGTTTTTTCTTTTCTTTTTTCTTTAGCAGAAAGATGTGTAGGTCGAAGAAGATTAATAAGCTTTTCAACTGCCTTTAAAATTAATATTTCTATGTTTTTAGAGCCATAACAAAATGACCAACGTTCATTACTTTACATTTTTTTCTTTTAGAGAACCTGGATACCATGATTGCTGTACAAACCAAGAATAAACTTGGAAAAATCTCAGTACTTCAGAAAAACAACTTTGCAGGTACTTTATCTCATTGTATATTGTCTCTGTACAGTGTACAGATATTTACGTGTAATAGATCCTTCATTAATTTGTTTCCAAAAGAAAATGTTCCATGATTAGAAAACAATGCTTATTTTATATTGTCTGGTCTAAAAGACCCCACATAGAGCTAAATATTCAGTTTTAATATGGTTTCATGTTGAGTATAAACAGATATAAGATTGTACTCTTTTAACATTTTTATTAGGAATAAGCTTAGTTTGAAAGAGTTAGCTTGTATCAGCAAGATATGCTAATTCTTTATGCCATAAGAGTCCTGATAACTCATCTGTCATAAAGGGGTTAAAAATATTCCACAATAAAGTAAATAGAGGTTAAGAAACATTACAATTTAAAAATGTAAAATTGTTACCAAATGTATAAATGGAATGTTATGTTCACCTTCCTGGGCTTTTTTTTTATGATAACTACTTTTTATAAATATATACTTTTATGTGCCAATTTAGTTTTTGTCTTTGCTATTATTAAACTTACAAGACTAACATTCCGACCTCTAAAATGACTACACATTGAAATTTTATATTACTCCCTTGTATTTTTATTAATTTTTTTTTTTCATTACACATGTGGTTACAGTATTAACGACATACGCCACAACAGCGTACGTGTACATATTTAAACAGTAGCATCAACTGTAGCGCATTCTTGTTTGTGGTTACATGCACAATTTTTAACCAGTGGACCTTACAATTGCAACTGTTACATGTCTACAGTTCAGGTGTATCAAGGTTGAAGCAATTAGCTCTATATGCTGGCTTAAGTTTCACTTTTAAGGCGTGAAGGTGATTATGCCATGTTCTACATTCTGGCTGCATCATATTTAAAAAGCTAGATTTTCCACAGTAATATCGATAGTATAATGGTGAGATACACTTAGAAGGAATTGTTCAACCCGAACGGTCTGTACTAGCGCAGATATCGTGTTTACGTCTTATTGTGCCCTATGACTGTCCTGTTAGACAGCATGTCAACCGCAAGTAATCCTAATTCTATAACCGGGGACTGGTAGGTCCCAACTTCTTAGCCAGGTCTGTGGCTTGTTTATTGCTGCGTCTGGGGAGAGGGGGGGAGAGGGAGGGTGAGGGTTGGGGGGTGAAGGAGGGGGGGTGTATGCATTGCCATTGGGCAGTCTTGGAGACGGCCCTGAGCAACTCGAGTTCTCATGATGTTGTGGTATTGTCTATGTATTTGGACCAGGGTTCCCATGCGGAGGCATAGTGGGCGTATTTGTCATTCATAGAGGCTGTCAGTTCCTCCATTATTCGAATAGACTCGACTTTCTGGAGCCATTCCCTCACCGATGGTGCCTTAGAGGCCTTCCAATGTATTGGAATGAGGAGGTTGGCCGCCGTGAGCAGGTGGGTCGTTAGGACCCTCTGTGGTTTGGCGATGGGGTCTGAAAACAATAGGAAGAGCATTGTCTCCGGCTTGAGAGGTAAGTTTCCCCCTGTTACAGTGTTAATTATCTCCCTCACTCTTTTCCAGTAGAGTTGTATGGTTGGGCAGTGCCACCAAATGTGAGCTGTTGTTCCTCCCAATTGCCCGCATCTCCAGCATGTATCTGGTATGTGCGGGAAGATACGTTGTAATTTAGTGGGCGAGTAATGCCACCTGGAGATTTTCTTGTATGTGCTTTCCTGGATAGCAGTGCTGACGGAAGATCTCTGTATGCCCTGAAAGATGATACCCCAGCCCCCCTGGGTAATGTTAGTGGAGAGTTCCCTATTCCATGTTTGTGTGTAATGTGGCATTTGTCCCTTGAGCTCCCCTTGAATCATCTTATAAAAAATCGATAAGTGCTTGCTTTTGAGGGATTGGGAGGTACAATATAATTCATACGTTGTGAACGTCCGGGAGCCAGCTAGAAGTGTTCGTGTGGATCGTATGTAGTGTGTCAGTTGCGCATATTTGAAGATCTGCAGTGTCGTGGGTCGTTCTGGTCCCATTAGGGATTCGAGTGGTTTGACTGAGCCGCCCTCTAGGACCGTATGGAGTCTCAGATAGGGCGTTTCTTGGGGTATTTTTAAGAAGTCAAAGGAGTGGTTCGGCAGCCCGGGTTGGAACTGTATGTTTCCTGTTAGAGGGTAGAGGGGGGATGGATGAGGGGATATTGAGGTCCCCAGTCTCATGAGCTTCCAGGTTCGGATTGTGGGTGTAATGGTGGGGTGACGGGAGTGGTGTGGGGATAGGGAAGTAGATCCTGTGTTTAGCCATGGGATCCCTTGGAGCGGGGTTGTGAAAAAGGTTTTCTCCAGTTGCACCCATTGTAGTTGTGGGCGTGGGTTGGCCCATTCATATATCCTTGTGAGGATGGTCGCTTTGTGATATAACTCTATGTGTGGCATCCCCAGTCCACCTTGGTTTTTAGGTTTAGTGAGTGTGGCGAAAGCTATTCTGGGGTGTTTGTCTGCCCAAATAAATTTGGTGAAGAGGTTCTTGATCTTTTGGAAGAATGATTTGGGGATGTGGACTGGTAGTGTTTGTAAGAGGTATAACAGTCTTGGGAGCGTGTTCATTTTTAGGATGTTGATGCGGCACAGCCATCCAAAATGGGGCTTGCGCCATTTAGTCAAGTCTATTTCTATTTGTTGGAGGAGTGGGAGAAAGTTGATGTTGTACGTGGTGGCGAGGTTATGCGTTAGGTGTACCCCCAGGTATTTGATGTGTGCTGCAGCCCACGAGAAGGGGTATTTCTCCTTTAGTGTGGATTGCAGTGGCTGGGTTATTTTCAAGGGTAGGATCTCACTCTTGGTAAAGTTAACTTGGAAGTTGGATATCTTATTATATGTGGTTATCTCTTCTAGGAGAGGCTGCATGGATGTGCTGGGGTTAGTTATTGTAAAGAGTAGATCGTCAGCGAACGCTGAGATCTTGTATTCCTGGTGTTCCACCCGGAAGCCTGTGATATCTTCGTTATCCCTGATCCCCTGGAGGAATGGCTCCAACGTAAGGATGAAGAGGAGAGGGGATAGGGGGCACCCCTGTCTCGTGCCGTTCCTTATATGCACTGGCTTCGATAGTTGTCCGTTAATTTTAAGTTTGGCCGTGGGGGTGGAATATATAGCCCCAAGCCACTTGTCCCAATTTGGCCCAAAGCCCATAGCTTGCAATGTGGCTCTGAGAAGAGACCAGTCTACTCGGTCGAATGCTTTTTCGGCATCGACCGAGAGTAGGAGGCTGGGTAGAGTGTGAGACTGAGACAAATGGATGAGGTTGAGAAGTTTTGTCGTGTTGTGCTTTGCTTCCCTTCCTGGGACAAAGCCCGCTTGGTCTGTGTGTATGAGGTTGGATAGTAGGGGGCGTAATCGCTTTGCTAGAATTTTAGTGAAAATTTTTAGGTCTACGTTGATCAGTGATATTGGGCGATAACTTCCACAGTTTGTGGGGTCCTTTCCTGGCTTTGGCAATAACGTAATATGGGCCTCTAGAGCAGGAGTCTGTAGGGCTGGGGTGTCGGTGAGGAAATTAAAGGCGTCTAGAAAGGGATCTGCCAGTATGTCTCTGAATGTTTTGAAGTATTTGGCCGTGTAGCCGTCAGGGCCCGGGCTTTTCCGCAGGGGCAACGAGCTCACTACTTTAAGGAATTCGTCTCTCGTCAAGGGGCTGTCTAGGGATTGCAGTGCTTCACTGGGGATTTTTTTATGCACCCTGGGAGTCAGGAAGCGTTCAATGTCTGTTGCCAGCGGGGGGGAGCTCCTGAGGTTATATAGTTCTGAGTAGAACTTGTGGAAGGCTTCCATAATATCTGGTAGGGTGTGTGATATGCCCTTTTCCGGGTGTTTAACCTTTGCTATGAAAGTTGTTTGTCTGCTTTGTTTTAATGCAGAGGCCAGGAGGCGACCGCATTTGCCTCCGGAATAGAAGTAGGAATGTTTGGTGCGTAATAGTGTGTGTTGGACCTGTGTGTTTAATATTTGTTGTAGCTCTGTGCGCTTTGCGAGCAATGCCTTATATGTCTGGAAGACGTCCTTACTGTGGTGGGCCGCCTCCAGGGCCCGTATGTCTTTTGTGAGGGATGCAATTTTATTGTCTCTTCTTTTTTTCTGTGTGGAGGCTATTGCTATGAGCTGTCCCCGAAGCACACACTTATGTGCTTCCCATGTTATTGGGGGGGAGGTTTGTTGGGAGGAGTTCTCTGTGAAGTACTGTTGGATGGAAGTGCGTATTTTTTCAGTCACTGTTTTGTCATTTAGTAGCAAGTCATTTAATTTCCATTGGTAAGTTTTTAGGGGAAGGGAGGGTATATGAACGGCAAGAGACAGGGGCGCATGGTCTGACCATGTGATAGGGCCGTAGGAGCATGCTGTCACTAAGTGCAATAACCGCTGAGGTAGGAAGAACATATCCAACCTGGAGTAGGTACGATTTGCATGTGAATAGTATGAGTAGTCTTTTCTATTGGGGTGACTTACTCTCCAGCATTCGTATAGTTGGGAGCTGTCTAAGAGGCGGGAGAAGCACTTGCGTTTTGAGTCTTCTCTGTTAGGAGTTACCGATGTGGTGTCTAGAGCCGAGTCTAAAGACAGGTTACAGTCACCCCCCATAATGAGTATACCCTCTGCAAAGGTCTCTATCCATCTCAGGCATTTTTTGAGGGTCTTGCATTGGCCCGTGTTGGGTAGGTACATGTTTACAAAGGTAATTTTGTTTTGTCCCATGGTCCCCTTTACAAGCAGTAACCTCCCTGAATCGTCTGTTTTCTGGTCTATGAATGTGAAAGGTACCTGTGCGGAGAGTAATATGGCCACTCCCCGAGTCTTTTTCTCAGCGAAATGGCCATAATAGCTTGTGGGATATCTACTGTTCCTCAGACTGGGAGCTTTGTCTTTTTTAAAATGGGTTTCCTGGAGAAACGCCACGTCAGCTCTCAGTCTATGCAACTCGTTGAGGGTCAGGGAACGTTTTTCTGGGGAGTTTAACCCTTTCACATTGAGAGTGATTATGCGTAGGGTAGTCATTGTTGGTCGGTTATTTTAGGGGTGAATGGGGTAGGTGTCTTGTCTCCACCCAGCGCTTGGCCACAGACCTGTCTATACAGAAATATTTGGATATTTACAAGTAGTAATATAACAAACAAAACAAGTAAAGAAATTTTTCAGTAAACACTCAAGAACAAGAAAAACAAAAATTAAATAAAGTATATGAATATCACACACTTGGACTTATAGCCTGCACCTGGGTCTGGTGCTTAAATACCTATGGTAACTGTCTCGGGTGAGATGATCCGTCTCTCCGAGAGCCTATCTGTCACCTTGGTGTAGGCCTGAGGGGCCTAAGTTCAGATAATATCTGGTATAGGCATACGTGTTTGTATGCCCATACTCCTAGGAGTATTATCTTGGGGGGAGGGGGGAGAGGGTATATAATAGACCGCAAGTCTAGTTGTGGGTGAAGAGAGTGGTATGGCTACTCGCTATCCTGTTCGGTGTGAACCTCGCTTGATGTGGTACATTTAGCTTTGTGGGCGGGTGCGTATTAGGCTTGGGACCCCTGGGACAAGGCTTGGTGTATTGGGCTTTTCGGGCACCTTGGAGTTCAGGTGGGATACTCTTATGGCGTCTCTTTCCCCTCCGCCCGGTCATGTGGCTAAGGGCCTGTGTTTTTATTTGGTAGCCCTTAAGTGGGCATTTCGTATTTTGGGGGGGGGGGAGGGTTCTATTGAAGGGGGGGGGACATTGTGAGGGCCCTTGGGAGATAAGTTCCCGAGACTTTCGGGTATATCTATCTCGACTCTGTGGCTTGGGTCGATTATGGCCGCTAGGTAGGTGTAATAGGTGGCATATGGTACAGTGCCCCGGTATCTTTTACCTTGCGGTGGTTATCGCTAGTCTGCGCTGCTGGTTGTTTTTTTAGGCTAGTGGGCACCATGTCGTATTCTTCCCTGCAATATCTATATACATTTGTGTTAAGTTGTGTTAACCCAGGGTAGAAAGGGGGTGTCTAAACAGATTCAAACAATAACCATATTACCCGCCCTCATGAGAGTCTTTGGCGTGGGCAGAGGAATCTCCCAACTCGTCCACCTGTGCCTCGGAGGGATAAAGTCCCGGTGTCGTGGGAGTTAGTGTGTCCCCGCTTCGACTGGTTTTATCTCTGTTCGGGTCCCCGGTGAGTCCAGAGTATCACATGTGAGTGTCATCGGTGACTCTTACCCCATGTGGGTCCGACCCCTATGATAAAGCTTGTAATAGACAGTCACCTTTCTCCAATGCTTTTGTCCTTTCTGGGCTTTTTTCCTTTTTCTTTCCCTTTTTTTTTTTTTTTAAATTGAAATTCCATCATCTGCGAGTAGCTGTGGTGTCTTTAGCGTGCCGATTTTCTGCTTTTTTGGGTAGTTGAGTAGATTATTGCCTTCTTGTGGAAGGTGGTCTCGTATCCCCTTGGAATGTGGTGTCCGTGGCCTCCGTGTGTCTTTTCCTTGTCTCCTGCTGCCAGCGGGAGCGTTGGGGCACCTGAGGTATCCCATGAGGTGGCGTCGGGCCATACCAGTCGCTGACGTGAGTCATGGGGAGGTCTAGTGCCCTCTGGAATGTTGGGACATCCTGTATGGTGTGGATGTTGTGCTGGGTGCCATTAATCGTGGTGCTTAAGGCAAATGGAAAGCCCCACCTGTATCTGATGTTCCTCACCCTCAGCTGGTCCGTGATGGGTTTCAGTGAGCGTCTGGCTTGTAGTGTGATCCATGATAGATCTGGATAAATACTGATTTGGTCGTTATGGAATAGCAACGGCTGGGTGGAGTTTCGTAGCGCTGCCAGGATGTCTTCTTTGCATCTGTAATAGTGCAGCCGGCATATCACGTCTCTGGATCTGTCTGTGGGCAGGCCCCTGGGTCTTAGAGCTCTATGGGCTCTGTCAAATATTATAGTTGAGTCAGGAGCTCTGCCAAGGATTAAATTGAAAAGCTCAGTAAGTGTTGCTATGATATCTTCATTGTCATTTTCAGGGATGCCTCTCACCCTCAGGTTATTCCTTCTCCCCCTGTTATCCAGATCATCTAGTGAGCGCTGTAATTCCGTTAGCTGGGCTGTGTGGGCTCTCATAGTTTCTTGGAGGGATTGTACCTGCGTGTGTGTGACATCCCTGTCCTCTTCCAATGACCCAATCCTATCACCCATGTGGCGTATGTCTGCTCCTATGGCGTCCAATTTGCCTTGGAAGGACATCTCCAGCTTACCCAGCATGTTCGCCAGGTCTTGCTTAGACGGCATGTTACGTAGGAGATCTCTTACTTCTGTGTCCCCAGGTATGCCTGACCGTTCTGAGTCTGCCGGACTGGATGGTGGGGAGCTGTGATGGGGTGATTCCGGCGCCATGTTTGGGCCTACCCCGCCGGGCTGGAGTTCCGCATTATCGCGGAAGTATTTGGTGAGGGCTCCCGTTTTTCCCGCGGGCTGCTTACCGGAGGTGTGGGGAGTGGATGCCGCTCTTTTAGGGTGCCCCATGGTTAGTTTATCCGCCCGATGTCCGCGGATTCACACCGTCGGGAGAGGAGCTTGTTTAGCTTGCGGCCATCTCGTTCCGTGGTTGGCTCCGCCCCCCACCTTCCTGGGCTTTACTGCTATGGAATCAACGTAAAAACGACACACCTGCACATTAGGAATTGTGGGATGTGTTCCATATAATTTGGGACGGCTGCAATCACCCCATCTAGTCCAGGGTTCCGTGCTGTTTTTGTAGGAAGACTGCAGGGATGTAGAGTATATGTTTAATCTATTAATTTGCTAGTAAATTCTAAGTAGTCAGTATCACTGCTATTTTGATGAACAAAGAAGAAAATAGTACTTAAAGTTGCTAGCTAAATCATAAATAAACTGAAAGGCCATTGTGATCATGCTGATCCCTTCTTAAAACGTACTTTTAAGACAGCTTGGACTGAACTACTTTTTTCTTTTTAACTTGCCATGAATGTGTTTAAGGTAACTCACCTGTAGATTAATGGAAAAAACAAGATTGCCGCTGATTTTAGTTATCACACATTTGAGGCTGCACACAGCTGAATAGTTAGTACCATCATATCATTCTGATATAAATCCCTTAAAAATATTTAAATGAACACTAAAGTGTTAGGAATACAAATGTATATTCCTAATGCTATAGTGCCTAGTCACCATTTAGGTGATTGGGCCCCACTGCCAGAGTTAAAAAGGTGAGTTCACTTACTTTTTCTCCCTCACAGCATCGATCTCCTTGGGTAAGCTCCACCTCTTTGGCTGAGATAATCAAGATCGATGATGTTAGCCAATCCAATGCTTTCCCATAGGAAATTGCACCAATCAGATGGTCTCTCGGAGACCGTCTGATTGTAATAGTGGAGTTTCACTTCACTATATCGTTGAAGCACCTTTAGTGGCTGTCAGTATTACAGTCAATAGAGACAGATTAGCCCTTTAATAAAAAAATTGCCATTTCTACAGAAAAGTTATATTTTAAAAAACTGGGCGCCAAGACCACTTTTTTGAAATTAAGTGGTCTTAGTGCCCACAGAATCCCTTTAATTTTTGATTACAGATTACATTAAAAAAGAGACCATTTTCAGGCGTCTCACCTGTTTTGATAACATACTCATCAGCTCTTTAGAGTTCAGCGATGCATATCTGAATGTCAGTCCATCTCTTACGTAAGATTTAAAACACTATCCTGTGCCATAAGCTATGTACACAACTCTCAAAGCATTCAAGTACAAACTAATGTCTGTTCTCTTCGGTCCTTTTGTTAGCTCGTAAAAGAACGACCTCAAAGGACCAGCTATTATAGCAGTTACATTGTAATGTGCGGAGCAGCATTTCCTGAAGCTTTATTTGGCTGTACTGAGGGTTTAAATATCATAAATCCAATATGTAGCTGTGGTGCATACTAAAGGGTTGCTTGACGCAGAGATAATATATAGAGGGCAGTTATCGAACAATACCTCAATGTTGTGCTTGTATTCAATAACAGCTGGCAAATTGTTTTTTATGAGAGGAGATTCTAGGAAAAAAAACTTCAAAAAGGATAAACCTAACCTACTATTCATATATGGTAATGATTACAATTATATTATGTTATAAAAAAAATTATTTACTGGGATAAGATAAGCACCTTAACCACTACAGGTTATTGTAGTGATTATGGCGCAAGCCTTCTATGGGTGCAGTCCCCCATTTAAAATTAGTTTTTTTTTATCAGAGCATTTACAAGTGATTCCAGAGCTTTTCAACATTTCACACACCACATTATGCATCCAAAGTGTTGCACGGTTTAATGGGCTTCAGCTGTGCCAAATCAATGTTAACCCATTTAGTACAGGCAAATCAACACGGGCTACAATAAGACATTGTCAGTACAAACATAGTGGAAGCATAATAAGGATATGAAATAGTAGATTCATTAGCCATAAAAAAAACAAAAAAACAGTTGATCAAGATATATGCAGATCCACTAGTTTTATATTTTGGGCATCACAAGATTGGGAAACAAAAAATGTTGTTGTTTGCCCTGGAATATCCATGCATTATCCTGTAAACCAGTGGAATAGCAATGAGGGAGATTCATTAAGACAAAATCAGGTGTTATTCTGGGTCAAGTGCTAAAAATTAAGCAATCACCATGGAAACCAATAGAATGTCTCAATATTTAGTACACTACACTCACAATAGCATCAGTATGCCTTGATAACTCTCCTCTAACTTTATGTGTGGGCCTTGGGGATTAGGAGCTCCACAGTTACCCTATTACCCCTCTTTATAGTGAGCAGGAGACCCGTCTGTGCATACTATATTTCTAGGAGATTAAAGGACAGATATACATCATCACAATACCCTCTATTTGTAATTTACAGTGCTTGAAAGTGAAATGGAAAACGAGTAGTCCCACCATTGCACTGATCTCCTCACCCCTGTATTAAATCACAAGAAACTTAATTATAAGTGTGTAATGTGGCCTCTATTTTCTAATTACGCCTTGCTGTAAATCCTGCTTAGGTATTAGTGTCTTCATGAACTCTATTTATTCTTTGTTACACAATTGCTGATGTACTTTAACCCCTTAAGGACCAAACTTCTGGAATAAAAAGGAATCATGACATGTCACACATGTCATGTGTCCTTAAGGGGTTAAAGAGCAAAAAATATTACTAAAATATGTCGTTAAATAGCAGGCTGTTCATTTCTGAATGAAATGCAAGTTCAGGTAACATCTAGAAGCAAATCTTTTCCAAAAGCAAGAATTAATTATTCAACAACTAGCAGCCAGATAAGGCCTGACCACGTAATATGGCTCTGTGATGTTTCTTAACACAGCTGATAGACCTGACGAAGAGTCTGATAGCACTAAAGAAGAAGCTGCTAGGATGGAAAAGGCATACAAGACAGCTATGGATTCCACAAAATTAGAAGAAACAGAAGACTCTACGGACAATGAGAAGCCAGAAGGTAACACTAAATATTGTCCCACGTCCCTGAAACAGTTTTTATATTAAAAAAACAACAATGTGGTGACTTAAAAATGAAACTATAGACATTACAGAGTATTTTAAACATTGATAATCCACAACATTAAAACCATTGGCCTTATAGCGTGTAGGTCCTTATCGTGCTGCCACAACAGCTCTGATGCTTCAAGGCATGGACTCCAAAATCCTCTGAACATGCCCTATGGTATTTGGCACCAAGACATTAACAGCAGGTAGCTTAGGGAATACATATATTTGTATTCCTAAGGCTACAGTCTTAATGAGGCTGTTTATTTAATTCCCATCCTCACCCCCCTTCCCCCCAAAACCAAATAAATGAAAATAAAAATAATTACTCACCTTTTCTGACTGAGTCTCCCTTAGCATTGCCGCAACCTTCTTCTTGAGTGACGTCATCGTGTAGGAGTGCCTCCAGGATGACGATATAGTACGATGCTCTTCATAGAGGAAAACTCAAGACCTTAGGCGCATATGCGGTGTTCGCCGTAATGCACCTAGGATTCTACCATAGAGAATCATTGCAAACAATGATTCTCTATGGCCGACCATGAGGGCATTGCGCATGTACGCATGACATCATATGGCTCTCGTACCTAGAGGGCTTGGAAGCATGGCTTGAAGCTAGCTTCCAAGCCTTCTAATTAGTGAAATAATGTATTTTGGGGGATAGGAGAGGGAATAGCCCAGCCCATGTGCTGCAGCTTGGCTAAGGTGGAGTGAACTAATGTATAAATCTCTCCAACTTTTGGCAGCATTGATAGGCTGTGAAGACTGGGTTAACTTAATCCTGCTCAAAAACTGTTTAATACTCCTGTGGTAAAGATTAACTATAATGAGAATTACAGCAGGATTAACCATAAGGTGACCCTAGGCAGCCACTGATGGCCGAGGGGTTAGACAGGGGCCCCAGAACAATGAATATTCCTGGCCCAATTAATCATCCTTATGTGAAGAATGATGGGAAGAGTCCCACGCTTGCAACCTGCTTAGAGCACCATGGGTTCTTAATCTTTATCTGCCCTAAAATGTTGCATTTGTAGCACTTTTATAGTGATTAGCAAAACGATGGAGAGCCATGGGCTATTCAGTAAAATAAAGCCAGATTAGTTCCATTAGTGATTGCAGGCTGGGGATAAGTTGCAGAATGACCCGACTGATGCTCTCACTACCGATATACAAATAGCTGACTGATGCCCTGAGGCTGCTACAATGTGATCAGCTCACAAAAGCCTTCCCTTATCATGTGGAAACTACCTTTGGAAAGCCATGTCAGATTGTACTCTAATATAACCTCATTTATATTCTGTGGGCACATCTGTATAGTTTGTTTTTTCCATAGTTCTAGTATATCACTGAATTTTAGTTCTGCATTAGTTTTTCACATTCATCTTCCGGTATGGTACGGAAATGCCATTTATAGAGAGTCACAGGAGAGTTTTACTTTAGACAGTAGTCCTAAGGGATAAATATGACAAGTAAACCTAGACCTAGAGCTCTAAGCAGAGCAACCTCACTCTATTTTAGTATATTTGGGTAAACTCATTACCTGGTTGAATGTAAGCACCATAAAAAAAAAATCTCTGTATCTTTGTACATATCGACATTAGAGGAAAGCAAATTCTAATCTCAGGGTTATTTTCTAAAGTGAGAATTGTTAGGAAAACAGAGTGAATTCCAAATGTAAGGCTAAAATAGTTTCCAAGTCAGCTATGCGTGCATCAGACTTTCTGGTCTCTTTAAATTAACATTAGTTACCCTGTCTGTGTCGAATTTCATTAAGTTTAAGTAAAGTTTAGTTAATCAAAATTGCCTTTTATGATACAGATACAACCCAGAGCTAAAATAGTTTATATTTATTTGAAAATTCTCACCTCTATAGTAGAATAAAGCTAGTATTACCAAGAGTGCCAATTCTTGACCAAATATAACGAGGAATAAATAATTAAATGATGTAATTCCACTAGAGCTGTAGCTAGATCGTAGCTACACACTCTTGGGTTGCAATTATATTTAATTTGGGTTAATTGCAAAATAGGGAAGCAAATGTTTCTTTACATGCGTGACAATTAATATGCATCAAGAGCATTACATAACAGCTTCTCTAATTCGATATTGTTAAACGGGATATCTATAATAAAGTTACTAATCAAACTGTACTGAAAAAAAAGAAGTGTGCCCCTCCATTAATTATACCAAGTTCTCACAATTTCCTTTATTTAGTTAAAAGGAGTAGTATAAAGAAAAAGAAAGAATTTCTCTTGTTTCTCTCTGTTATAGACTAGGGAATTCAAATAATACAATATGGTTACAATGTTCAATATTTAAAAAATACCCCAAAACATTAATTAGTACAGAGTAAAAAAAATACTATGTACAGGCACCCTTTTATCCGTGTTGGTGCAAAGTATCGAGGTGGCCAAAATACCTCAAAATATACAAAATACAAAAAATAAAAAAATATATAAAAAATATAAAAAATAAAAAAAATAACAAAAAATATAAAAAATAATGATACTGCACTCAGAGATTGAAGAAAATTTTTAAAGAAAAAATATTTACATGGAAATTTTTTTTTTTAAATAATCCAGGGATATAACCTTAGTATAATTCCTGGTTTGGATGATATAGTTATTGTTCACAGAGTACAGCCTGAATAACCCTAAATAACCACATTCCCCATCATGATGTTTCTGAAAAATATTTCTGCGATCCATTTAAAGCGGCACTGTCACCATCTGGGGGCTTTGCAGAATTTGCCACGACTCCCTAATGGTGACAGCGCCGCTGGGGTATGGTGGCTTGGGTGGGGGACAGGAAAGGTGACCCAAACCTGTCCCCTGCGGGCTTCACCTTCTTCCTCTGGTAGGTCCTCTTCAGCTCCTAGCGCTTCTGCGCCAGGAGTCCAGGTCACTGCTGTACTGTCATGCATGCACGAGAGTACGGCATTGAGGTCTATAAAGGATCCTGCGAGACCGCGGGATCTTTCATAGACAGACAGAGTCAATCCCCTGCAGCTGTCACTAGTGTGACAAAAGATATACAGAGACAAAGTAAGGACTACTTTGTCTCAGTATTTTTCCTGTGTCTGACACTTCTTGACACTGGGCGGAACTACCGCCATCAAGAAATGTCAATCCCCCAGCCGTCACCAGTTAAAGGTGCAGGAAATCGATTCTATCTATGGCTCTGTCTATGAAGTATCTACGGAGTATGCGCAAAAGTACGGCATAAAAGCAGAAGAGAACCGGCCAGAAGAGGATGGGTTCAGGTAAGTTAAACCAATCTTTTCTTGCCCCCCCAGCCATCGGACCACCAGCAGCTCTATCACCATTAGGGTTCTTTGCAAACTAGAGAAAGTCCCCAGATGGTGACAGTTCCCCTTTAAACTCAGGAGAGACTTTGAGTTGAAAGAAAGCTAGAATTGTTTTTATTCCAATGACTGCTATAATGATTCTCTGCAGTTATCCCTCCCCCCACCCCTGTTTTTTTCACTAGGATCATCTGCTTTACATAATTTACTGGATTATAAGGTTATCAAAGGGTGAATGCAACAAAAAAAGGGGCTATAAAATGCACAGGAAATGTACTTGTGTCATTTCTGGAATAAACAGTGTGTTTCAGTTCTCTATCTTTAAACATGTAATAATTCAAATAAACAGAGAAGCTTTAGAGAAAAGAGAACGGAGGTTTTATTTAAACATTGCTGGCAGTGAAGGAAACAAACTGTAACTGTATGAGACAATAACAGAGCTATAAATGAATCATAATCTTTCCGAGCCAGCAAATGGCATACTGTTTTAAAGACGTGGAAGAAGGGTTTCTTATTTCCCAGATGAATTGCATTGTGCTCTAAAAACACCCTCAAAATAGCGCTGTCATTCCTAACGCACTGTAATGTTTTTCATCAGGTAAGGCGGACGCGTATTTAGAAGCAATCCGAAAGAATATCGAATGGCTGAAGACGCATCACAAACAAGAGAGCAAAGAAGGTAAATAGAGAAATCGTAGGAGTAGATGGAACAATGTTCATGTAAACAAGCTGTGGAAACCAGAAAATAAAAACAGATTGCGAAAACAAAGTACTTTACTCAAACATAATTTGATACAATATTGTTGGTATAATGTGTGTTTGTATATAAATATATACACTCATACACACACTTAGTCAAACATGCGTACACTACAAGAGCGCCGTTGGGGCCAATTAATACAGCACACAGAATCACTAAGCACCAGCTTCTAAGTTCACTAAATGTTATAGTTCTTTTTAAAACCTCCTGATTTAAGCAAAAATAATGGGGATTCAGTTACAATATGCGATGGAGGACGGATTTCCCAAGTAAGTTGGTTAGTCTCATAAGGGTATGCATTAGGTTTCTAGAATGGGCCCTGCCGAAGGAGGGATGCATTGCATTGCATTGTGCAAGGCTCGTGCGATGTGTGATTGTATATACATATGTATAATTTGTATACGCATATGTTTGGGATGTTACTAGGGTTTGACTGGCAACTTTTGGCCCAGGGGGCAAGTGCAACCCAGAGGCCCATAGTGCAGCAACTTGGCCCTCATTTAATTAAATAAATGATTATACCAAAGCAATGCACTAATGTTTCCACTGACACAGAGCAGAGCACTGCATATACACTCACAATGAAAATATATTAATAAGATCAGCATATCACAGGACTGTAAACATCAAGATATGTGTTTTTATATTTTGTGAAATTGCTCTCTATGACGTTTATACAGGGATGAGGGCAAAAATAAAATTAAAAAGTGGTATTGCTTACACATTACAGTACAAAGTTGCATTTCCTAAAATACAGATACCTCACTCTATTAGCAATGTATTTTTTGTTTCACCTCACCATCTTCCAACCAATTTTGTGCAGGTTAGGCAGTTGTATTCTGCCCAACACATTTATTCAGAGCATTTAGGCATGCAACAACATTAAATGCTACTAAAAAGACTCTATTTTTACTTAAAGGACCACTCTAGGCACCCAGACCACTTCAGCTTAATGAAGTGGTCTGGGTGCCAGATCCCTCTAGGATTAACCCTTTTTTTAAAATAAACATAGCAGTTTCACAGAAACTGCTATGTTTATAAATGGGTTAATCATGCCTCTAAAGCCTCTAGTGGCTGTCTCATTGACAGCCGCTAGAGGCGTTTGCGTGCTTCTCACTGTGAAAATCACAGTGAGAAGACGCCAGCATACATAGGAAAGCATTATGAATGCTTTCCTATGAGACTGGCTGAATGCGCACGCAGCTCTTGCTGCACATGCGCATTCAGCCGAAGAGGAGGATCGGAGGCGGAGAGCTCCCCGCCAGGCACTGGAAAAAAGGTAAGTTTAACCCCTTTCCTTGCCATCCAGCCCGGCAGGAGTGGGACCCTGAGGGTGGGGGCACCCTCAGGGCACTATAGTGCCAGGAAAACGAGTATGTTTTTGGAGAGTCAGAATTTACCATGACATGGACGCACATTAAATGTGTCTCTAACTCGATTGTTCTTATAACAAACCCTAATGTGCAGATAGAAAGGCCATGACTTTCTCATTTAATTTTCCTAATGTTAAACCTATTAATTAGACACTTCAACAAACATATTGACCCTAGGTCAAATGCTTATCTTCAGTAATTAATAATAAGTCATAAGTAATAATTTTGGTTTAATTGATATATCTGAGGATAGGCATTGCAATGTTTACATTTTGTTGTAGCTATCGCATCTAGTGTGGATAAATCGAACGTTGCGCAGGACTACATTTCCTCTACACTACAATTCCATGTTTAGCTGGACTACATTTCTCCAACTATGGGCAAGGCAGTCCGTGGCATGTGTACTAAGCTGAGTCTGCTGGAGGCTGCACAGGACCTAGGCACAGGGCCAGAGGATGTAATGGGAGCCTCCAATAGAGCGCTGAGAGAAGGTTACAAGTTATATAACTTCCTCCAAGTGCAGCCTTGGAGTAACTCTGTATATGGCATCACGCTAATCAGGCCAATGGCAGTTCCCTGAGTGGTCACCCACCCCTCTTCTGCTCACTAACACTCACAACACACTGCACCAAATGACACACGCCGTGTTGCTTTTGTTGCTTGGTACTATGTGTGATTTGGTGGGGGTGGTGTGTCTGTTTTATAGGGGCCACCTGAGCCAATACACCCACTTCAACAAACATATTGACCCTAGGTCAAATGCTTATCTTCAGTAATTAATAATAAGTCATAAGTAATAATTTTGGTTTAATTGATATATCTGAGGATAGGCATTGCAATGTTTACATTTTGTTGTAGCTATCGCATCTAGTGTGGATAAATCGAACGTTGCGCAGGACTACATTTCCTCTACACTACAATTCCATGTTTAGCTGGACTACATTTCTCCAACTATGGGCAAGGCAGTCCGTGGCATGTGTACTAAGCTGAGTCTGCTGGAGGCTGCACAGGACCTAGGCACAGGGCCAGAGGATGTAATGGGAGCCTCCAATAGAGCGCTGAGAGAAGGTTACAAGTTATATAACTTCCTCCAAGTGCAGCCTTGGAGTAACTCTGTATATGGCATCACGCTAATCAGGCCAATGGCAGTTCCCTGAGTGGTCACCCACCCCTCTTCTGCTCACTAACACTCACAACACACTGCACCAAATGACACACGCCGTATTGCTTTTGTTGCTTGGTACTATGTGTGATTTGGTGGGGGTGGTGTGTCTGTTTTATAGGGGCCACCTGAGCCAATACACCCATGACTATGTACCACCATTTTTCTTATCTGTGTCATTGCTCTGTGCTTCCTCTGTTTGCAGCATTGTTCAACTTTTCACACAGTTTTCTGAGATATTTGCTACCTGGGTCATCCCTACTGCCTACTTACATCGGCACCACTGCTCTCCCTTGCTTACTCGCGAACCACATTCAGCATGAGGGCCACAGTATCGTCCATTTATTGTGGGCATCCGATAGGCACAGGTTGCCACCCAGCCCAGTCTGGTTGTTACCATACTTGTGTGAATTATCCCATAGAAGGTACATACCGCTCTTATGAATGGGGTGCCCTAGTCTGATGCTGCCCGCTATCTAGGATTTCAGAAAGCAGGTTAGAGCAATCCCGCACTGGCGCACAGACTTTGAGGTTAAAATGTTCGTGAATGGTGAGCCAGCAGAAGAGACCTTTCTATGAAGTTGTTATTTAGCATTTAACAGGTGGTACCAAACTTTAAGAGTGTCATAGCGACTAATAAAGCCTGTGATAGCAAAACATGTCTTGTTTTTTTATATTATTTGTATGCATATTGGTTACCCCCTATTTATTTTGGAAATGGTAAGCATGGTATGTTTTTCCTCTGTAGACATATGCCACTGTATCATAGATCAGAAATATTATTAGAGGTCTTACCCAGGAAGCACGAGTACACACCAGGAGCAAAAATGCACATCAGAGACAATAATTGCATTCTGCAGGACAGATACAAACCAACTTTGCTCCCTTGCAGGACACATTGCCAAATCTGATTAAACTAGAGGCTTTTGCATACACCCCATATGCCATTTGTCATCACTATAGGGAGAGAGTTAAGAACAGATTTCTCATGATTAAAAGTGGAATGCCCAGGTAGTCACCTTATATAAGTGCTGTTTATTAGACTTGTGAATTCATTTTGTCCCAAACTGCAATTTTGTCAGCATTTTGTACTATAGACGGTTCATCGCACTTGTGTAATTATGAACTGTCGTATAATTCTAATTACAATTATTTAGATAGTGCCAACATTCACTAAATACTGACTTTATTCACAGATTAAATGAGAAGTGACCAGTAAAGGGGGGGGGGGGGAATCTATATTTAGATTCTTATACGTGATAAATGTAATAATTGTATAAAATAGAATTATAGATCTTTTATAGCTCTTTTTCGCCTCTATAGATTACTACTTCTGTGAACCAAATGGCAGGAAAACGCACTTATCAGTGTATTGGAAAATATCTGTATAATATTTATAGTAATAATAATATTATGTATTTATTTTGCTGTACACTGAATGGCCCATTTTTGCACCCTTGAACTGTTTTTTCAAACCATTTACATGGACAAAATTCAGACCAGCAAACCAGACACATGGACAATATTTGGTTGACAGATTTTATTTATTTATTTTTTTCTGACAAAATGATTTGTCTGAACAAAAATGATGCGCCACACACAAACTCTTTTGTGGCTTTATGGATCCTATGTAGCACGGTCATCTTCTTAAGGAGAGAGTTTAGGTCAGACCCCTGGTAACAAAAAATGGGTACACCCAAGCAGCAATTCTTGCATATGTGCTGTGTCCTGGGCCTTTAGAGAAAAAAAGCCGAACCCTGCAAAAAAATTTGGCCAAAAAAGCATAAAATAAAATAAAACCATAGAATGCTAAAAAGGCTCCTTAGGTAGGAAGTAGTTTAATTTATACTAATTTCAGATTTATTTTTCTTGCCTTTTCTGCTGGGAGGAGAGAAACTAATTGGTTAAAGGAAAACTCAAAGCACCATAACCACTAACCACAAATGATGTAGTGGTTATGGTGCCAAGAGCACCCTAGCACTAGCAAACAGGAGCTTTTTTAAGCCCTCCTAAACAAAACGTAGCAGTGCGTGGCTAGCTTATTGGCTGAGAGTGTCAGCTATTCACTCTCAGCCAATGAGCTAAGCTCTGCACTGCCATGCTTACGGCTGTCTGTCAGAAGTAGTAAAGGCACAGAGTGGCGCCTGGCAGACCCCAGATAAGAAGCCAAACTGTTCTAAAACAGTATGACTACTTAAAATGGGGGCAGCAAGGAAGTCTTGCCACCATAACCACTGTAGTGTAATATAGCGGTTTTAGTGCTTGGAGTGGTCCTTTAATACTGCCATGAATTAATCAGGAAAGGTCCTTTTAGAGTGCAAAATAGTAATATAAATTGTTTAATGATGATGTAAAGCATTGCTTACAACGTATGTACACTGACAATTGGAAAAACGATTCCACTCAATTTAAATTGGGTTTGAAGTTCATTAGCTTAAATTAACTTAACATGCCATGATGATGTGATGGCAAGATCTATCATGCTCTAATTCTTCTTGTCACATGTCTTCTAGTGATCAATCAAGCTGAATTCTAGTAATTAATCATATTGCATGCTACTAGGGGCAATTTATATGAATCTTATTACTGCAAAAGTATGTCTTTGTGGTCTGCTGGTTTATACTACTGGTGTTGAAAAGGAGAAATAGATCTAATAAATCTAAATTATATGAATGCTTGTTTGTACATTGCTACAGATTGGTGAATTGTGTCAAATTGGTCAAAAGATATGTAATACTGTGTATATTATAATTAAATGTTGCAATCTGTTTGTTAAAGCACTGCAACTCACTGTTAAAGGAACCTTTTTTAAATTGGATGTCAATGATAGGCAGAGGGCTGGAGCGCTCCCATGCTACCATTTCTTTCCACTCAAAGTTAAATGGGCAAATGCAGAAGTTCACTTCTTCATTAACTGAGTCTCAGCTGTGGGACAGAGCAGTAGGCATTCTGGGAGACATCAAAATGCTCAAAAATCTTTGAAAACAAACAGGGCGGTTGGCAACCAAAAGCTCTTTGCATTTTGACCTCTACTACAAGCTAGAGTGATTGTTTATAGAGTGCCCCCTATATGTATTTATTACTGGTATTTATAAAGCATCAGCATATTCCGCAGCGCTGTAAAATTAGGGGAGAACACACAATATGCACACACAAATACAAAACATAGAGAGGTCCCTGACGTATTCTATAGCAGAAGTTAACTTGAATTAAAATGCATTTATTATTGTCTTTTTATGTTTCAGATAATGATCTTTCCAAATTGAGAGACTTCATTAACCAGCAAGCTGATGTCTACTTACAAAAAGGAATTCTGGACAAGGAAGAAGCTGAAGTCATTAAACGTATTTACAGCAGCCTTTAAAAAGAAGAAAAAAGGGAACTTTTTCCTACTGTGGACAAATATGCTTTAGATTTAGAATATTCCACCATGATCAGAAATCAACTCTTTCCCATGTGTCATTAGAGAATACTCTGCTCCCAGTACGTCAACCTAATGTTTAGGTGCAAGGGCCTGTTAGACCAGTGCAGTGGCCATCGTTGCCCCCTTTGTGTTTTTATGTGTACAATCTCAACAGTAAACAGAGAATTTAAGGATAATATGCCTTCTTCTCAAGAAGGTGTCACAGATAAGCCTTTGACCAGTTACTGTAATATCACATAACTGATATCTCTCAGCTATTATATAGAAGATAAATAAGCCATAGTAATATATGTCAGCCTCTCTTTCTTCCCAAGAGACAGATAAGTCAAGGCAGTCAATGAATGGCAACATCCATGTACTCTTGTGATCATTGAAATTAAAAGATAAAAAGGAAACTGACAACAATAGCCAACAAAAGGCAATGTAACTCCATGGGTATTTAGTATGGGCTTCTAAACTAATTCTACCTCCCACTGAAATGTAGTAGAGCTTTTGGACAGAGATAAGACTTTCTCGAAAGACTGCAGCATTATCTTAGATGGCACATTTTGGAGCTTATATGGTATATTAATGAAAGAACTGAATACACTAATACACTTGGTATTCCTGGATACGGTATTAGAATTTCCTTAATGTGAATATGTTTGCACTTATTGGTATTGAAGCTGCATTTAAAAGACATTGATGATGTTGACAGTGGGTCAGGCTTACTTGCAGGCTCTCCTGAGTACAGAACTTCTGACTACATCCATTCATCGACCTTTCCATTAACAAAGAAAAACCTCTCAGATGGCATAGTGTAGCATTATGCAGGTTCTATATCATGTAGAATAGATTTTATTAGTGTTTATTCTATGAATACCCACCAAGCTCGCACACATAGAAACCACTTAGAGGTGTCATAAGCACATGCCCATAATGTTTTATGTGGAACCTTAACTTACTGAGAGTGGATGTGCCATACTTGCGGCCTATTTCAGATATTTTGCAGTTCAAATAGGAGATAAGAGTTGCTTTCATGGTGAAACATTTTCATACAAATCTAAATTTTGGATGTCATTATCAGGCTCATGGTCACTGCAGCTTCCAACGTTTAGCACCTCTCATCTACAGTGTAATAGTTTGTGCTCTGTCACTTTGCAGATTCTGTTTTTAAATCAATCATCTTCTGTCCCTCTATTTCTTCTTTTTTTTTTTATTCACTTTAGTATTTTAGTTATGCATAGGCAAATGTAGGAATTACCTTCTTTTTTTTTATGGGGAGCATGATCGTGTGTAATTTTTGGGAATAGACGGAACTTGAGCAAAGTTCCATTTCAGTTGCTAAGTTACTTAAGCCACAATCCACCAGTCAAAAGAATCCCACAGTTGCTCAAACGGCAGACATCATGGACAATGGAAAACAAAATGGAGGTGCTCAGGTATAGAGATCCAGCACAAGTAAGAAAAGATAAATATAAATAAAGGCACGTGGTGGTGATGGTGGGGTGTAATCATTAAGATGCAAGGGGTATAAGGAAAGGAAAAAAAAAAAACCATAACATGGTTCCTGCTATGGATAGGCACTAGGGTGGATTATGTTGCCAAGTGAAGAACTCTACTATCATCTGATTTAAAATAATTTCAAGTAGACCAATCAGAATGTGGCTAAGCAGGTATCCAATTGTTTTACAAAAGGCTCTGGCTACTTTTTCTAAAATGCAGAGTAAAGGCTCATAATTTGGCCAGAAACTGTTGGTCACACAATTAGAGAAATTAACTATTTATTGCAGAACTCACTGCTTAATTGACCTGCTTCAAATATTGGACTATGTGGTATAAAATCAGACAGGTAAACATGCAAGTAATGACTGAGTATATTACATAAAAAATGATGGTTTCAAATATTTCAAAGTGATAGGAAAATCAGTATTTTAAAACAAAATTAAGAATTTTACCTGCCTTATAAATAACTTCTAATTTTTTTATTACACTGTAATATGCATAACATAAATTGATTAAACATAAGCTACAAGTTCCCAGTATCATTGTTCTTGAGTTTCTTTATATTTATTTTTGCCCATGGGCTATCAGTATTAAAATACTATTGCTTTGTAATTCCTTTGGCTTTAGTGCAAAAAAACGTATTTATAATATTTCACACATATCAGTCCCTATCTGGGACATATACACACACACACACACATGTAATGTTTCTGAAATCATAAAGCTCCTACTGAAGGAGCATATGTTGATGTGCGCATTGTAACATTAAAGGACCACTATAGTGCCAGGAAAACATACTCGTTTTCCTGGCACTATAGTGCCCTGAGGGTGCCCCCACCCTCAGGGACCCCCTCCCGCCCGGCTCTGGAAGGGGAAAGGGTTTAAACTTACCTTTTTCCAGCTGCCTGGAGAGCTCTCCTCCTCCTCTCTACCGGCTGAATGCGCCCACAAATGAGACAGCCACTAGAGGATTAGGGGGAAGGCTTAACCCATTCATAATTATAGCAGTTTCTCTGGAACTGCTATAATTATGAAAAAATGGGTTAACCCTAGAAGGACCTGGCACCCAGACCACTTCATTAAGCTGAAGTGGTCTGGGTGCCTAGAGTGGTCCTTTAACAAATTTAGTAATAAATAGACAAGTAGAATACACTGGACAAAAATGTACTAATTTTTGCAATTTGTTGAAATATAAGGATAGAGAACTCTGGTGCACTTGTCCCAAATCTTTCAGCAGTGCGCGGAGTGTGAGAGGTTCACAAGCTGAAGCATTTCCATGTAGATGTGAACATATATATCTGCAACTTTTTCACTGCATTCAATAGTAATTGTGAAAACTACCAAGTAAGTGTGAGCTACGTCAGTGCCAACAGAGCAATTTGTCAATAAGTTAAATTTTTTTTTTTTTTAAATAAATTCTTTATTTTTGAGTGCAGCGGGTATTACAAGCTTAAACGGTGACATGTTTAGTATACAATATCATTTCAGGCAATTGGCATATATAGTCAAGAGGTGCTGCACTTTTTTTTTTTTTTGTCAAGTAGGAACATGAATAAAACAAGAAGTACTTATATACTCGAGTATAAGCCGAGTTTTTCAGCACATTTTGTGCTGAAAAACCCCAACTCGGCTTATACTCGAGTCAGTGTTCTATTATGGCAATTTACATTGCCATAATACAGACTGGGGGCTGGCAGAGCTGTTACTTACCTCTCCTGCAGCTCCTGCAGCTCTCTCCTCCTCCGCGCCGGTCCGGTCAGCACCTCGGTCAGCTCCCAGTGTAAGTCTCGCGAGAGCCGCGGGGTCATAGTGCGGCTCTCGCGAGACTTACAGTGTGAGCTGACAGAAGCTGCACGGACCGGCGCGGAGGAGGAGAGAGCTGGCAGGAGCTGCAGGAGAGGTAAGTAACAGCTCTGCCAGCCCCCCTCCTCCCCCCACTGAACTGCCAATGCCACTGGACCACCAGGGAAGGAGAGCCCCCCTCCCTGCCATGTATCAAGCAGGGAGGGGGGACAAAACATAAATAAAATAATAATACATAAAGAATAAAAATAATAATAAAAAAAAAATTAAAAAAATAATATATAAATAATAAAAATAATAATAAAAAATAATATAACAAAAAAATTTAAATAATATCAATTAATAATATATAAATATAAATAATAATAAAAAAATAATTAAAAAAATAATATAACCCAATTTTTTTTTTTTTTTATAAAAATGCCCACCCCCCACCAAAGCTCTGCAACACAAACACACACTGCATCACACACACACACACTGCATTCATACACACACTGCATTCATACACACTGCGCACTCATACACACACAGCGCACTCATACACACACACTGCACTCATACACACACTGCGCACTCATACACACACTGCGCACTCATACACACACACTGCATTCATCATATACACACACTGTAAATAAATATTCAATTAATATAATTTTTTTAGAATCTAATTTTATTTAGAAATTTACCAGTAGCTGCTGCATTTCCCACCCTAGTCTTATACTCGAGTCAATAAGTTTTCCCAGTTTTTTGGGGTAAAATTAGGGGCCTCGGCTTATATTCGGGTCGGCTTATACTCGAGTATATACGGTAATATAAATTCCATAGCCTGCATAGAGAATAGAGGGTCGTGGTATGAACATCTAGTTATCGATATGGTTATGCTTTAACATGCATGAGTGAGAGACATGTATTTTGTACATTAACGGCAGGTCTGAACGTGTACATCACATGCTTACATCAAAGATTTATATAACAGTCCTGTGCTTTGTTAGTCATAGGCAATTATAACGAGAGGAACTTTATGAAGAGATATGGCTGGAGCCTGGCAGTGTACTGGGACATGCGAGTGTGGGCCGAGGGATTTAGTACCGGTCTCCGGCACTGAGCTCATAACGTTTAAGTCAGGCTTATGGTGTTTGCAGACTATTGCGACAGGCTATTCTGTTATCGTCTTAAACGGTAACTCTCGTTGCTAGACATATGCGATAAGTATAAACATATATTGCTTATTGGCACATAGTCATAATAGGCTTATCTTGTAGAGGTCTCCGGTTTGGTGGGTCTCTGTTTAGGAGGCTGCAGAGTGGCAATCACAGCATCTGTTAGGTTTTGGGTATGTGCCTCTGAGAGTCCCGCATGAGTGCCCATTGTCAGCCTATGCCCAGCACTGGGAAAGATGATAGGGGGATTTGGCAGTCCGGGACATAGGTAGGGGCAGTGTCGTTGGTCCCAGTGGCTGGCTTGTCCGTCTGTCGCCGTGAGGGCCTGCTTTGATGTTGCAGGTAAGTGGGGTCTCTTTCAGCTTCTCTGGGACTTTCTTCGAGACCCTGAAGTCTCCGTTTGGCGACCGGCATGTAGCTCCGCCAGGTTTGTATGCACGCTTTGCACTCCCCTCCTCCGCAGCTCATGGGGTCGCATATGGGCCTTTCGCTGGTTCAAGCTGGGTGAGTGTCGGGGAGAGGGAGGTGAGTCAGGCGGCAGGTCTGCAGTGCTGGGACTATGTACAGGCTGGCTCGGTCTGCTGTCGAGCTTCTCCCAGAATTTCACCAGCAATCTGTCCATTCGGACCTCGAGTGGCTCCAGCGTGCCTCGTGTGTCTAAGGCCAGCATGGTGTCCGCCATCTTGCCTGAGGCTTCTTTGTGCCGAGTTACCCCTCCGCTGCGAGGTAAAAGGTGCTGGGCGAGTGCTGGGATGTCCCTCACCGGCAAAGGGGGCGGGGTTCCCCACCGCCTCCAGGCACTCCAATAGCGAGATCCGCGGGGAGAACGGCTGCTTCTCCCGTCGATACCCACCGATAGGCCGGAAAGAGGCTCTGGGTGTAGGCCGCCAGTCCGTCACCGCAACACTCCAGGATGTAATCCTCAGGTGTGCAGGTTGGACTCTGTGTCCATAGGTATGTAGTTATTGCAGTTTAATTTGTATTTTAGTCGATTTTTCCGAGGCTGTCTAGTGAGCTCGCTTCAAGTGCTGCCGCTCAGCCCAGCAGTCAGGCCCCACCCCCTCAATAAGTTTACATTTTTATACCTGATTTACAGTGCAAACAGGTGCTTGATGTGATCTCCCAGAACCAAAGACTTTATGTCTTTAGGTTTGGTCCTTTTAACGTAAGTTCCACGGTTTTTAATCATACAGAAAAAAAAAAGGTTTAGCAATAAGTCAAAAATACAGGCAAAGGAATTAATGTGTTATGTGTTCTGGGACAGTTTAAACTCCGTCTATACCAAAACATGTATCTTTTTTTTTAGTAGGTCTACACCCATGGTTTTTCCTAGTATGTTGGAACAATGCAAGTTCTAATTGTCAAATTATAAGCAATTAGTCGATTAGTCTAATTATCAAATTTTAAAAAAAAAAGTCTTGATGTCATGTTTATGAACTATTATTTTCTAATTTCTGCAAAATTTACAGTAAGTGAATTGCTAAATAAATGCTCTCTCATTTAAGGGAACAAGAGATTTGTTGATCTTTACAGCACTTTCATCACTCATTCTACATTTGACACATGCACCAGTGGCTCCCATGTTCCTCCAGATACATGAAGTAGTTGATATCTCTCTCTCTAAATTTTGAGGATCCCGTTCTGTATTTTGTATTACACAGTTATATAAATTCCCTGACTAAATATAGCAGCATATACAACTGGGTAGCTCTGCCAATCTTAATTAGGTCATATCCACATATCATTCCAGTTAATTTAACACCCACGCTAAACATTTCTTGAGAAACATGCAAAAATAGACTAAAAAAATTACATCAGTGAACAAACGGTTACATTGCTGGACCAGAAAACAACTTAAAAATGCTAAGTAACAGTATGCAGATATACAAATTCCATCCTTTGGCTCTCAAGGATCTATTATAATAAATAATAGATTAATCTATTAATAATAGATGATGTAACTTAATGAATTCCAAACCTAACAAAGATAGGCTCCTAATGAAGTATGTTCAAAACACAGAGTTCGAATGTAAAGATCAGTGTATAAAAATCAGTTCTTGAATTCTACATGTAAAAAAAGAGAAAACTGAGAGATGAGAATTATACGTAAAGCAAGTCAAGTAACACCTGCAACAAAAATGCAATGATGACATTGATCATATTCTCCAACTTTATTTGAAATGGTCATGAAATTGTATGAAAGAAATAAAAAAGGCAAAGTAATAAGCAAATAAACCCAACTTTATTTGACCTCTATTCAACGCATCTTTGAAGAGTCTCTGTTACAACCTTGTGTCCCCACTCCACCAAAAGTAAGATTTTATCTTTATGAAATCACAGTCAAAAGATAACATAAGACAAAAGGGGGCTAAACAAACTTTGACAAAAGGTAGAGCTACCACTGTCAAGTTTTGTCTTTTCCGCAGCCTTCTTTAGAGATAGCTGTGAGAATAAGGCAGTGTCTAGCTCATCGCAAGACAAAATCTATGGTGGCAACAACAAACTTGTGGATCCTACACAGACATCAATGCTGTACTCACATGTGCAAATGTACAGCACTGAAACGGGCTTCTGGCGGATGGTTCCGCCAGGAGCTGAAGATTGAAAATGGGGGCGCAGCATCAGGTAAGTATAACTCACCACTGTTGCTCCCCAGGGCCATCTCACACCAAGCAGCAATGGACTGCATATTTTACAGAGTCACTTTAAGAATCTCACACCTACATAGGTTTTAAAATTAGAAATATAAGCATTTTTGTAACACTATTTTTAAATTTTCTAAATTTCAGGGTTGGTTCATAAGATGGTTATAGAATTTATATATTAAGTGACACATGTCGTACAGGTATAAAACAGCAAAAATATTAAATTCAAAGAAAACCACAAGAAAGCTTATTTTTTATTTTTCATTTTCATTCTGAAAATATCATTAGCCTTGCAGTAAGTTGAGTCTTTTCAGCCACATGCATGGATCAGTCCCAACACACACACTTTATGGCTGTATTACAATCTATTTCCAAACTTCGGAGACAATACATCTAATATGATGTTAATAATTATGTCTGGGCCTGGTACTCAGTTACCAAACAAACACATCACTGGTGATAGAATACAACCTGGTTCTCTTAACTAATAGCACACAGACAGAAGTCTAGTATAGATTATCTGGCTTTATAATTGTAAAATGGAGGAAGTGGGGGAGAGACAAACAAACAAACCAAAAACCTGAAAGTAGCATAATTTATATTTAAATAATTCCATACCATAAGTTGCATGTCCTTATATGCAAATAACAGTCAAGGATTTTCTTTTGCTACATTTCACTAAATGTGTCATTTATTGAAATGGAAAATGTAATAAATATGCTGTATTTTCTATAGGCAGTCAATGTCCTGCTTTGTATTTTATTAAACATTTTTGCTAAACTGTTAGTGTTTGTTTGATATTTGTAACTGCTAAAACAGACACAAAATTTTGTTAAATGAAAATATTTGGAAAGAATGCTCAACTATCCATTTTTATAAGAATGTTGATGTTGATTATATCATGGACTTCACTGTGCTAATGGAATTTCTCTCTTTCTACAGTAATTCTGTTACCAGGGCAAGTCGATACGACTACTACCCAGGGCTAAACGTTACTTGCCACTGCAAAATTCTTCTTGTAACGAGACGGCTGGAAATAAACAAGACAGAAATATTATCAGCTTTAATATTACAAATTGAAACATAGTAAGTGTAAAGTAAAAGGAGCAAGAACCAGGTGCATGCAGAGAACAAGCAGCATGCAACGCGCATTTTAATTAACAGACAAGTTAAAAAGAACTGAAAACGTTTCAAAACTAGTTCTTTATTCTTCATTAAAAAATGACAAAGAAATGTGCCAGGTCCTCTTTTAAATTGTAATACATAAAAAAAAAAGAAAAAAATGTTTGATTAATTTTTCAGGCTCTCTTTAAAAAGCAACCCTGTAAACACTATAACAACTTTAGCTCATTAAAGTGGTTATAGTGTCTGGAGTTGCTTACGTCCAGCTTAATGCCGCATAAGAGTCCGCAGAAACCCATCCCCTTTGTGCTGCTTGGGCTAATAAGCAAACATTAGCTTGAGCAGTAATGGATAGCTGGGAGTGACTGAGTGCCAGCTGACCACTTTCAGCCTATCACAGCACCCATTGCAGGTATGAATTGGTATGGCATGGCTAGAAGGAAATGTTAAATCTCTGCCTTAGCCATTCTTCTCTGTGGGTGGCCAGAAACCCTTATTTAGTATTAAACTGCTAAAAATGGTTTAAAACTGAATTGTGGGACTGCACTAGAAGAAATTCAATGAGACAGTAGTGCTACTATTGCTTAAAATGTCCCTTTACAATAGGCTGTCATGCCTAATATTCTCCCATGTTTTGATTCATGCTCTTTACTTCGCTGCCATAGGTGGAGTGAAAAGAATATCATGTAGGCCACGCTCCATTTTTGATCTTCTTAGAGACAGTACTCAAATGCCATGACATGTGGGCAAAGTATGCTTCCAATATGTGCACACGAGACATGTTTTCTCTTCGGATATTGGCTTTATCCAGCAAAAAAGGCATATCAGAGGAAAAAGTAAGTTGTGCTGGATGTAATATACATGGGTGGCATAAAGAAAGTAGAACAGAGGGGAGAGAGATGTATGGACTCCTGACTGTCTCCCTTCTCTCCCTCCTATTTCTAACAGTATTTCACTGGATTCCGACAATATTCAACAAGTTTTAGAAACTTACAATAAAAAGAAATGTAAAAAAAAAAAAAACACTTGAAAATTGAAAAAGTTTTATATTTTAATCAACTGCATCATACACACACGCATAACACAAAAAAACCCCACCCTTACGAAATCCTAATAAACAGCATAATTAAAAAAGCAGATCATTAAGTACAAAGAAAGATAAAAGAAATAATAAAATGGAGACACACTGTATTGCAAAGTAAATACTGCTCGCTCTGCAGTCAGGTCACTGAAACAGTCATAAGGGCAGAGATATGCCATGAATTCTGTTTAAAAAAAAAAATAAAAAAAAATTTAAAACACAAACAAATCAAAAAGAATATTGCAAACAAGGGGACTCCAGAAATGTCTGCACACAAACTGCAGTTTATACAGATAACGTGAAGGCTGCCATTTGTTTTTCAAGGCTACATTATAAGGACACTGAATGATTGCAAAAAACATGAAGAAAAAAAAAAAAAATCAATTTCAGTGCAATAAGAGTCAAAATGTCGACTACAGATTAATTTATCTAATAGGAAGCCTTTTGAATTGTATATTCCATCACCAGTCATTGACTTTCACATAGGAATAACAATTATTGTTCAATGTTGATAGGAGGAAGTTGCATAGGAGTCCTCATCGTGTCTAGGAAAAAAAATAAATGGGAATAAAAAAAATGTGTTAAAAAAAGATTATACTGTTTTTGTTCTACAGTGAAAGTGTGACACCTGCAGAAACCACCACCCACACAACAAAATGCACCTAATTTAATTTTAACATTTAAAGGTACACTATACTCACCAAAACAACTTAACAACAACCCCCTTAACGCCGCAGTGACAACCCAGGCAGTCTCCCTGCAGCCAATCCGGCCATCCCAGGCCATGTTATCGTAATGTCATCACAATCACATGGCCTCAATAGCTGGCAATGCAGCTGCCTGCAGGGGGTCTGCCTGGGTTATCAGCCAGTTCCCCAAATGCTGAAATTAAGTGGAAGAAATCATTGTACATATGGCAAATACATTTTTTATATGAAAATAAGAAGGAAATTATAACTGTACATAGGGAGTACTGTTGCACTCAGGAGACTCGCTGAACACAAATGTTAGTGTTTCAAAACAGTAACAAGTATCATGACAATATCATCAGTGAAAGGGCAGTTTGTGTGTGAAAAATGCAAAAAAAAAAAACAATACGAACGCTAACTTTGACAATGGTTTGTGACTAAGTGGCTACTAAAAAAGACTGGACATGTCCCATTTTGAATACCCTAGGTTGTCTACTTTTGCCAATGGTATACTATGATGGATGTTATTATTATTACAGGGCTGCCATACGGTCTCAAAGGCAACATAACCAATCTGGCAAATTTCAATCTGTAAAAACTGGAAGGGAAAAGTCCTTTCTCAAATTTTCCCAAATCCCATAAAACCTGTAAGTGAGGCTACAGTTGTGTTATGGACAGATGAATTAAAATAAAATGGCTATTTACTAATGTCTATTTATTCTGTGTTCACTATGTTAAAACTGGCTGCTAGAGTAAATATTCCCTTCCCCCCCTACAATGTGTTCAGTTGCTGTTTCCTATGTAAATTCTTCATCCTGCTAACATCCCCCTTCCCATCAAGCAAACCTTGTGTAACCAAAATTCCTGTATTAACAGCTCCCTTTACTAACTCCTCCCCCACTGCCTTTGTGCCAGTTAACAGCTATATGCCACGTGTAACAAAATGGAGAATCACTGTTAAAGTAACTGAAAGAAACTACTCACTCCCCCTCCCATCGTGTATCCAGAAGTCTGTAATGATGACACTACATCCTGTAGGGGGGGTTTAGACAAGAACCCTTAGACTGTTAACCAATTGGTGAATGTATACTGTATGTTTAAACTGTGACGTATTTTTGCTTTAAGAAGGAGCCCCCACTCCGGGGAATAAAGCATTCCTTGGTTTTTCACTGATCAGAAACTTTGTCTCCGGTGTGAATTACTTCTAGGGAAAGCGTGCACACATTAATTAATCAATTTGGAAGGAGTAGATAGACAAATAATCAAAGTTTTCTTTGATCCAAAACAGTTGTACTTGTGAGACATCAACGAACAAAAATATTATTGCTGTAAAACAGAATTATGACATTCACAGTTAAAATACCATGCAGAACTAAGAAAATAAAAATGTATTACAAGTTATGGTGGCGACTTTTCAGATTTCGGTCTATGAGTCCGCATCTCCTGTGCATACAGTTGGAGCCGGAGATGCTGACTCATTTACCCAGAAGAGGTCTGGCGATTTTTAAGACCATACAGTTAACAGCAGATTCGATGAAACTGTTTGAGATTAAGTACACTCCGTTATTGAAATCTCTACTTCGGGACACGGACTCGTGGACGGATAAACTGATCTCATGGATCAGCCCGTATACATTCTGTAGAAATTAATATATTGCTGCGTATTTTGTTTCTGTTTCAAACTTTGCCCATTCCGATTACGAAAGCAGATCTGGCCCCTTTACAGAAAGCCATTGGCTCATTTATATGGCAAAACAAGAGAGACATTGGGTCTCCAGAAATACCTTGTACTGCCCAAGAGCAAGGGGAGGATTGGGCCTGCCTCATCTTTATTATTACTACATAGCAGCACAACTCACCCAAATTGCAATGTGGCATGTCCCATTGGATGTTAGGAAATGGGTTGATTTGGAGTAGTTATTGATGGGTGCAGACTTCCCACAGTCTTACCTGTGGGTCCCTAAAGAACACAGGGCAGTATTGCGGTCTACATGCCGGGCTGGAGGGGCTGTGGCCTCCGAGGCATATGTGGTGGGAATGCCCACAAACACAATCCTTTTGGGAAATTTTTTTTATTTTTTTTAAATCGGATATCCTAGACCGTATATTTCAACATAGGCCCACTTTGACTCCATGGGTCTGCCTGTTCAATAGACCGCTAGAAGGCTGGACTGGGACGGAACAAAAATTGCTGCACAAAATTACACTATCAGCTAGACGACCCAAGGTCCCATCTCTGTACTAGACAAGATAAAAAAAAAAAACATCTACCTTATGGATAAATTGCTGGCACAAGTGAGGAATTCCCTATCCTCTTCTCTGAAACTACTCTGTTTACATCTGAAGGGTTAAAACCTGGGGGACCTGGCACCCAGACCACTTCATTGAGCTGAAGTGGTCTGGGTGACTGTAGTGGTCCTTTAAGACAATGAAAAAAAACAAGATCAGCCTTGGTGAGCTCAGCAATAGCAATCAATCTGGGAAGGGACATTTTCTAACTAAAGTCACCCAATCTACTACTTCTCAGTAAAGTTGTCTGGGTATTATTATTATTATTATTATTGCCATTTATATAGCGCCAACAGATTCCGTAGTGCTTTACAATATTATGAAAGGGGATTTAACAATAAATAGGACAATTACAAATAAACTTACAGGAACAATAGGTTGAAGAGTACCCTGCTCAATCGAGCTTACATTCTATAGGAGGTGGGGTGTAAGACACATTAGGACAGGAGTGTGCAATCAAAAAAAAGTGGGCTGCCCTTTAGGGGAGGGCAAGAGACAGGTAAGTGAGGTAGGGGTTAGTCTTGGAGGCCATAGGCTTTCCTAAAGAGATGGGTTTTAAGGCACTTCTTAAAAGATGCAAGACTAGGGGAGAGTCGGATGGCGGTAGGCAGGCTATTCCATAGGAAGGGAGCCGCCTGCGAGAAGTCCTGCAAGCGCGAGTTGGCCGTACGGGTGCGGACAACGGACAGGAGGTGGTCACGGGCAGAGCGGAGAGACCGAGAAGGGACATACCTGTGGATCAGTGAGGAGATATAAGAGGGGCTAGAGTTGTTCAGTGCTTTATAGGTGTGAGTTAGTGCCTTGAATTGACTCCTATAGCACACAGGAAGCCAATGTAAGGACTGGCAGAGGGGTGAGGTGTGAGAGAACCGACTAGAGAGGAAAAATCAGTCTAGCAGCAGCATTCATTACAGACTGTAGGGGTGCAGTACGGCTTTTGGGAAGACCAAGCAGGAGAGGGTTACAATAATCCATGCGTGAAATTATTAGAGCATGGACAAGCTCCTTGGTAGTATCTGGTGCAAGAAAGGGGCGGATGCGGGCTATGTTTTTGAGATGGAATCTACAGGATTTGGCAACATGCTGGATGTGAGACTCAAAGGTGAGACCAGAGTCAAGTATGACGCCAAGACAGCGCGCTTGCAAGGATGCGCTGATGTTGGTACCACAAACTTGAAGGGAGAGCGAAAGAGGAGGATCAGTATTAGGAGGAGGAAAGACAAGGAGCTCAGTTTTTGAGAGATTGAGTTTCAGAAAGCGGGAGGACATCCAGTCAGAGATGGAAGAAAGGCAAGCAGTGACACGTTGCAGGACAGCAGGGGAGAGGTCCGGGGAGGAGAGATATAGCTGGGTGTCATCAGCGTACAGGTGGTAGTGGAAACCAAATGAGGTAATAAGTTTGCCAAGAGAGGCAGTATAAAGAGAAAATAGAAGGGGACCAAGGACGGAGCCTTGGGGGACTCCAACCGAGACAGGGCGAGGGGAGGAGGTATCATTAGAAAAAGAGACACTGAATGAGCGTTGGGAGAGATAAGAGGAAAACCACGAGAGGACAGAGTCACAGAGACCAAGCGATTGCAGAGTTTGAAGAAGGAGAGCATGATCAACGGTGTCAAAGGCCGCCGAGAGGTCAAGAAGAATTAGTATGGAGTAGTGGCCTTTGGATTTAGCTGCGATTAGGTCGTTAGTGACTTTGATAAGGGCAGTCTCTGTAGAGTGGAGAGGGCGGAAGCCAGATTGAAGGGGGTCAAGAAGAGAGTTGGAATTGAGGAAATTAGACACACGGGTAAAGACGAGTCTTTCCAGAAGCTTTGAGGAAAAAGGGAGCAGGGATATGGGACGGTAGTTAGAGGGGGTGGACGGGTCAAGGGATGGTTTTTTTAGTATAGGTACTACAGTGGCATGTTTAAGGTCAGCAGGGACGATGCCAGAAGAGAGCGAGCAGTTGAAGATGTGTGTTAGAGAAGGCACGAGACAAGCGGAGAGAGATCTGATAAGGTGAGACGGGACAGGATCGAGCGGGCAAGTGGTGGGGCGAGAGGAGCAAAGAAGAGCAGCCACCTCTTGGTCAGTGGCTGGGGAGAATGTCTGAAGGGTAGGAAAGGCATGATCAATGTGTGATTGAGAAACAGAAAGGCAAGGAGGGGAGAATTCTTTCCTTAGCTGTTCAATTTTGTCAGTGAAGTAACATGCAAAGTTGTCAGCAGTAAGGTTGGTTTGGGGGGTGGCTAGCAGGACGAAGAAGAGAATTAAAGGTGTCAAAGAGACGCCTGGGGTTGCGGGAACATGAACTAATGAGAGAGGAGAAATAGGACTGTTTGGCAAGGGCAAGGGCTGCACTGTATGAACACAGTATGAATCTATAATGGAGAAAGTCTGACTGGGTGCGAGACTTCCTCCAGGAGCGTTCAGCACACCGGGAGCA